GCGTTAGACTCAGGTTATGCGTCTGAGACTGAAGCTGATGAGGCATCCAAGGCGGGCAAGGCGATCCCTCTGTATCTGGACCCGATAGAACGCGACTTCGCCGTGCGCTGGCTCACTGCGTTCATTGGACAAGCCTGGGAGTTCCCTCTGAGCGATGACATACGCGATGAGTTTGTGGATGCTGCATGTTCACTGCTATCGTATTTCACTTCCCCCGAGGATGACTCCAATACACCTGATGAAGATCCCGGCATGACGCGCCGATTTCAGTTCTCGACTGGCAACGGTGCCGAAACCTTTGTGGTTGATCTTTATGATACTCCCATGCAAACAGGCGAAGACCACACCGATGTTGGCCTGCAAACTTGGGGAGCGTCCATCGCATTCTCTCAGATGTTTTGCACTGCGCCCATGGATTTTCTGGCGACCACGAAAGCACTTGATTCCTCTACTCGAATTGTTGAGCTTGGTGCCGGAACAGGCCTTGTCAGCCTGGTTCTTGCAAGTCTGTTACCAACGATAACCGATTCATTGCCGTCTATTGTCGCAACCGACTATCACCCCACCGTACTAAAGAACCTGGAAAAGAATGCAGCGTCCCATTACAAAGAAGGATCTACAGCAATGGTGCAGGTGGCTCATCTTGATTGGTGTGCACCTCCATTAGACGTACCTGCAGACATCCTTGTGGCAGCAGATGTTGTCTATGCAGTGGAGCATGCGCGATGGCTTCGTAATTGCGCTGCTTCTTTACTCACGCCGGACGGTGTCTTTTGGTTGATGGTTTCTATCAGACCTAATGGCAAGTTTGCGGGTGTTTGTGATTCGATAGAAAGCATATTCACCAAGCCAAGCCTATCTGACATGAATGGCAGCCGATATCTGGAAATTTTGGATAATCGGTGGATTGACAAGAAGGATAGCGTTGGGCGAGCCGACGAAGTTGGTTACAAACTCTTTAGAATTGGATGGGCGTGAGCAATATGGGTAATTGACATTTTTGGCGTTACTATGGTAGAAAGGGTTGCAATTTATAGAGCGTGCTGCGCAGTAGATTAGACATAGAGCAAGACTTTACTGGCATTAGAAAGATAGATGGCTTCTAGAAATTTTACGATAAATGGTTGATACTCTAAAGATTCAGTAGCTGGAATAATTCTAGGCGGATGAGCATTTGGTGATTGCTGTAACATATCTCTCGGCATTGTCTTTCAGCACCGGAGCGAATGATTGCACGCACTCACTGATGGACCTCAATCGACAACTTTTGGTGCTGTAATTCGGCGGTGGCGGAGCCGGACAGTATCTCGGGCGGCCGCACTGTCAGAGAGCCCAAATACATGTACGTAAATTTTCGGCCGACGCTGAATCACCCAAGCTATGGCTTTCAGCTTTCATCAAGCCTCGAAATGGAAAGTGAAATGACCACGCCAAAACGCGGCGACAAGAGGATCAAGGGCCGAGTCGCGATAGCATGCACCGAGTGCCGCGACCAGCATCTGCGGTGCGACGCTGTCGTGCCGACCTGCTCTAGATGCCGCAACTTACACAAAACATGTGTCTATATGGATTTACGGCGGAGCCGCCGGAGACACGCTGAAGTCGAAAAGCTGGTGCCCTCGGAGCATCACAACGATGACTTAACGGCAGTAGAGGCCAGAGACATTCCGGCAGTATATCAACAGAGTCATCTTTCTGAGGAACCTCGGTTACCTTCAGGACCGTCGAGCTCTCTACCACCCTTTATCTCGTCCAGCAATGCTCTGCGGCCAACTGTGTTTGCGGATAATGACCTTCTTTCCACTAGGTCAGTTGATGGGTTTTATAAGTTCTTCTTCCCGGGCCATCCATTCATCTTACCGCAAGCGCACTTGATGCGTCACTTTGAGAAGACCCCAGATTTCAGCTATGGATTGGTTCTGATGATTGCTTTCATTGGTTCGCTTTATACTCACGACTCGCTGGCAAACGATTACAGGCAACAGGCTGAGCAGGCTCTGGGGAGTCAACTTGCTCCTCATGGGTTTAATGTTCAAGCTTTGATGCTTCTAGCCCTCACTCTGGAATGGTCCGGTGAGAATGAGAGAGCCGCCATGTATCTTGAACGGGCAAAAACTATGGGCCTGGAGATTGGCATCCATCGGCGAGATTTTGCTTCTCGCTGTGGCCACGGGGATAAAGTTTTGGAAGAAAGCTGGCGACGCACCTGGTGGGAGCTCTATGTGATTGACGCACTTTTCGCCGGCATTCGCCACCTTCCCACATTCACATCTTGGGGAGTAGATACAGATGTTGAAATTCCCTGCGAAGAAAAGCTCTATGTTACAGGGGTGAGGCACATTTATACCAACCTTCATGGACTATGACCTTCTTTATATTGACCATGCCTAAGATGATTCCTCAGCCTCGGACGCTTCGCGAGTACGACAACCGTGGGTTCGATGACAGCGATGAAAGCTTCTCCTCCTTTGCATATCTCATCGATGCCACCCGGATCCTTGGGACAACGTTAGCTGCCGGTGACATTGCAAACAAGTCCGCCTATTCTTTGGTGAAGAATGCTGAAGCAAATTTGATGAGCTGGGATTTGCATTTGCCACATGCGAAGCGCGACCCTGTTCAATCCGATGGAACTTTGGATGAAGTGCTATTCAAGGCTCATATGGCAATAAATACGTGAGAATATTCCGAGAAAGAGTTCATTCCCCCCTCTTCTCCCATACCGAGCTTTGTTTCACTGTATGCTAACGACATCCATGTAGTACGTCTACTCATCTACATCGACCAAGATCGATGCTACACTACACTACAATGGAACTTCTATGCTCAAAATATGCACCGCCGCTTCCCGCCGAAGTTCTGAGTGCTGAAGAGCAGCATCAGGATAGACATACGCACAAGGCAATTAATGCGGCAAAGAACTTTGTCGATTTACTTACCGCCTCTTCTTCACCGCTAACACATAGCCCCTTCGTCATGTGTATGGGATCATTAGCCGTGGCCACTTATCTGTCTGGTTGTGAGCATATATTGACAGGTTCCGAATTAGCACATGCCAAAGATCGGATTCGGGTATTCTTAGGCATACTGAAGGCATTCACAAGAATATGGTCGCAGGCGCGGCATTGGTCAGAAGAGATGAAGCTAATGGCAAGAGTAGTTCTTGACCAACAAGACGGCGCTGGGCGGATCGATTTCCCATCAATACAAGATATGCCAAGTTTCGAAGAGATAGCCTTCGACGATGGGCTGTCACAAGAGATCAATGTAGCAGACATGGGCAAAGACTGGGGAAATTTGATGGAAAATATATGAATAGCGCAGCTACTTGAAAGAATTCGCAGCCAACCACCGCATACTTATTTTTCAGCGACGAATTTGATCACCGCTTTTCCTTTCCTGCCTCTTTGTGCTGCAAATTTCCAGGCCTCCACCGCTTCTTCCACTTCAAAAGCCACAACAGGAATGGGCTTCAGAGTACCATCGTCTATAAGTGAAGCCACCTTAGAAAGAGTATCGCCGTCGGGAGAAACAATAAAGTGTAACCACCTAACTTCTGGATGGTTCTGTAATTCTTCAGGCTGTCCCCTGTCGAAAGCCCATGCTGGGGCTGGGTCCCCTACTGTTACGATGATACCAGTCCCGTTCACTGTATTCCAGGTTTTGGTCAACGTTTCGCCTCCAACGGTATCAAAAACTGCATCCACGCCTTGAACCTTGTTGTGCCAATCAGGATCGTTGTAGTCCAGGACCTGATCTGCCCCTAGTTCTGCTAACATAGCGTGGTTCGAAGAAGAAGCCAGGCCGATAACCTCTGCATTGAGAAGCTTCTTTGCCATCTGTACCAACATAACACCAACCGCTCCTGAAGCGCCTGTTACAAGGATTTTGCTGCCTTTATCCAGATTCGCACGCTTGAAGATTGCTTCCCAAGCCGTCAGTGCCGGGATTGGAAGAGCTGCTGCTTCTGCATGAGAAATGGATGAAGGTTTGATGGCTATCTCATTTGGCATAGCAATTGCGTATTCTGACTGGCCTCCCTGAGGAGCGTCTGCATCAATCATTGCGTAAACCCTTTGCCCAACCGAGAGTGGTCCGCTGTACTTAGGCCCGAGGGCATCGACTGTACCGGATATATCATGTCCTGGAACTCTGTTGGAAGAAGCATATAGCTCAGGCCAAATGACTTCGTCTGCCGTTATTCCAGCAGCATGAATCTTGATAAGAACCTGTTGTCCGGTGGGAGTTGGCCGAGGCAGGGTATCTGATAGAATGATGCGGTGATCATTTTGACTGCCCAAAATTTGAACGGCTTTCATTGTGTCGATGTGGGTAGATAGGCGAAGATAATCAAGTAGTGATAATGTTATCTGTAGATGAGAGGTAAAGTTTAGCCTCTTGAGCGTAGATGGAAAAGCCTTGCGATTTATAATAGCAGCATATGTCCGTTGAGAGGGTGACTGTACAATTTATGACTTGAGGTTTCCTGGTTACTGCGGTTATCTCCCCTTGCCCAGCTACTAGATCGATTATAAGGTAGTAAAAAGGATAGGAACATTTGTGTGGAATCGACCATGGCAATTCCCGAATGTTTCGTCACTCAACGATCACTGATCATAATGTGAACAAACTTCGGGTAATGACATGCCTGTATTCGGGTCGGGCGCCCGGAAAGCCACAATCGACCCGAGTGTGGGGCTCGTGTGAACTGACCCGACCCGAGTGACGAGTGAATGTTGAGCCGGAGCACGTTTGACAGCTCTTAGAGGTTGACTGATTATCCATCTAATAGGTCAATTAAGTCATCGGACGATTGCCGCATTGTCTCATCTCATATAATCGGACATTAAAACTTTCCAAGTATGTGTGTATGGTTCGTTTCTATATAAGAGACAGCGAGGGCTTCTCAGTTGCCGAAACTGTTATAGACTTGAAACATCCCTCATCGAAACCCTTTACTTCGATTTACCAGAGTTTCTTACGTTATCTAAAGAAATACCATGGCATCTTCAGTGACGAAAACGTAAGCGCCTTCATATATACAAATACCGAGAACTCTACTGATGCTGTATGGCTAGCAATCGACCGCGAGAAGACATTAAAGTCCTCTTTGACTACGAGTTGGCCAATGCACCTGGAAAATCGATCATCGGTGTCCATCTTGATTACCCTCCTGAAGGTTTCACTCCTCCGCATCGGCACGGCGGTGCCACCGTTGTCGCCTATGTCCTTGCAGGCGAGCTTCTGAGTGGCATGAACGGCAATCCTCCCAAGGTGTACTCCCCTGGGGAAAGCTTTATGGAGCTTCCTGGTTGTCATCATACTGTGGGGGAGAATACTAGCAAAACTACGTCGACACAGGCTATTGCTATTTTTGTAGTGGATACTGATGTTGTCAAGACTGGCGGTTATGAGGCCTTGACAGTGCTTGATGAGGGTTGGTAAAAAGATGTATGACGGAGAATATATGGTCTGTTACCAGGAAGGACCAGCGTTATGCATCTATATGTATGCACAGAATCCAATGAATGAAGACAGTAACCTCTGTCCAAAAGTAAACCTGTCACAGCCTTCCTAAACAAAAATTGCATCTACCTACCTAGTACCTAGCAAATCCGTTAGATTTGGTTAAAGGAAGCAATACGTTGAGGACACGAGCCTTTCCGCAGGGTAAATATATGCACTGACGTGTGCAATCTTTCCCTAGAATGGATGAAAATGCGGCAGCTGCTTGAAGCTAAAATTCTCGACTTTTCCAACGGTCGGCCTAGTCTTCCACGTATCGTATACTTGTAGGCACCGTGGCCAATTCTGAGATTGCTTCTCCACTTCCGCGCGACGAAATCTCGATTCATTGGCCTAGACTACGGAGTATGGATTAATGTTTACTTCGTCTACCCAGACAGAACTAGGACCTGGGAGGAGCTGAACAAAACTAGTGCCGCTAGTGTAAATAGTTTGCGGTACTATCAGGGGGAATTAATAGTAACATGGATCCCATCCAGCACTTTGCGGGTCTTTTACCGACCTTTTTCAAATAAATCGTTGATAGTGCCGTAAATTTAGACCAGCTGCTCGTGCCTACTTCAATAGAGCCATGGGGACCCCGTGTCGAGGTTTAGGGTGATTGCAGGGGATAGAAAAGTTAGTAATTTTCATCGTGAGATCTCCTTTATAAGCTATTGACGGCATGCGAACCCACATTCTTCTTCTCACTGTTTGTGAGTGATATTCTCATTTATCAGGTCTCTAATATCTTTTTTAAAGACGTCAAAATGATAAACAAGATTATTATTGGCGCCCTTGGGCTTGCCGCCAGCGTGGCCGCAACTCCGTTGGAGCTTGTCGAGCGAAGCTCGTGCAGAGATGACAGTCTATACAAGTGCTTTGCTGATAGAGAATACTCCCATTCAGCATCTGCATACTGCTCTGCGCTGACTCCGGTTACAAGAACAGTAACTGTGGTAAAACCCACGGTGTGAGTATACGCTCGACATACCTGGCTTAAGAGCCACGATCTCTAATATTATTGCGTGTAGAACAAAGACAGCATGGGTCACTAGCACTGCCAATCCATCAACCGACTTCGTCAGCTCTACAGCCACTGTTTACACAGCGACGGTTCCTTCTTTATTAGAAACGATAACCAAGACAGAAACAGAGATGGCGACGTCAACAGCAACCCAGAGCGTAACAACGACAGTAACTGTCACTGGTAGCCAGAATCAGCAACCACCGCCTACCACAACACTTACCCCGTTCAAACGTGGCACTCAAGGAGGAAAACCGGAGCCACCAAAGTGTATGGTCACCAAATGCTTCGTGTACTCTCCCGAGCGCATCACAGCGGGTTGTAGCTGTATTGGTGTTCCGCCTAAGACGGTTACAATCTCTCAGACGGCGCCTTGCTCGACTGTTACAGTGGTATGTTTATCTCTCTCTCCAAGACTTTCCCCATCTTGCCCGCCGGAGATGGCGCTGACTAGTAACAGACCTCGACCTCAGTGACGACACCTCACGTTACAGCAACAGCATGGCAAACCGTAGCGATGGAACTCACCGATGGCGTTTCAACTACCACAGCCACCACTACAGCCACTGTCCCTACTACCGTCACAACGACTGCTACCACGACCGCCACCGTCACTGTCTCGCCTCCCGCACAGAACCTCGTCCCCAACGGCGATTTCTCCTCTGATTCGACCGGATGGAGCTTCATCAATACCTCCCCAGCCACTTGGGTGAATGGAGGGGTGGGCACCTCGGGTAGTCCCGACGGTATATCCAACGCTTACCACATTACCAACGTTGCGTCCACTGGACAGTATTTTATAGCCAGCCCTCTCATCGGATTAAAGGCCAGCTCCTCATACAGTGTATCTTTCATGGTCGCCTCAACGAGTACCGATCGCAGCTTGGTGAATACTGTCCATGTCCAACTCAACTGCGGCTCGATTACTGTGGTGGATACGCATTTGAACCAGGCGACACAAGGTGCAAATGGTTACTATACCCTCTCGATGAATTTCAACACTGCCATTACAACCGATCCCACCACTGTGAGCCAGTTGGGTAGGTGTCAGCTGCAGTTTCTCTTCCCTCAATCTTCGCAGCCTCCAGTTACGTGGTTTTTGGCTGAGGTTTCTATTGCGTCGACGGGTGCTGTTTCAGGTTAGACATCGGGAGAGCGGGTTGGCATCTAATAGAATAGTGGACATTAAAAGCAGAGTGGTGCGCAAAATTATATATACAGATTCATTTGGGCCATATTATCACATACATACATGTAATAAAAATATTGTCACTCTCTATATTGGTATTCATTTTTCCATCTGCGTTTATCCGAGCATAAGCAGATGCTGCGCACTTGGTTCTCATCTGTTGGAACTTGGATGTGATGGACCTTTGAAACAGGGCTATAAATACCATTGGCAGACGTTATAGCGAATTTTTCAAGATCAATTTCGCTTAGCAATAGCTTCAAGGCAATATCATCATTGCTGTGAAAAAGATTCACTACATTCAATCTTTTAAAATATGCTTAAAATTTAGGGCTCCTCTTATTATAATTTGCTATGGCTCAACGGCCGCTCTTTGTTCCTAGTCACAGATTGGCTCTATATCATGGAAATACTATTTGTGCCACTGCCATCTTGGTTCTACCTATACTCTGCTCCACAATCACCTACCTTTTGGAATATCTCAGCCCTTCGACTTCGTATTAAGATCTCCTCAATTGCATCGCGATCGGATTGATCAAGGGACCAGCCGAAACTCGACAAATTCTCATCTGTATGCTCGCTTATGCCCATACGTGCCCCAACGATGACGGCGCCAACGTAGGGAAAGTCTAACACCCAACGAGTAGCGACGTTTGATATGCCGACCTTGTGTTTTGTGGCAATAGCGCGCAGGATCGTCAATAATTCTTGAAAGAGATTCCAGCCGCCCCAACTGCGTATCATTTCGAAATACTGGAATTGCTATGGTCAGTAATCCAGCGGCGAAGGAGTACATTTTTTGTGTTATCACTTTACCTTTCGCTGGCTTGGTGTGATTGATCCATCATATATATCTGGCTCGGGCTTTCCAAGCCACTTGTCGGCAAGGAAACCACCGCACTTATTTGGCAGATTAGTCAATGTCGATGCAGTCAAGTATGGAACAGTTTCGACTCGAAGGCTTACCAATGTGCCGTATGTTAAGAGTTTGATACTGTGTTCCTCACAAGCGCTGCCCATTTCGAAGACAGGTCGAGAGTCGACAAGAGAAAACTATTTCAATATCAGCGATGATTGTTCACCATTTGCTTCTCTCATCGAGAAGGCGATCGCTGTGTCGAACCTGAACTTGGTTGGTGTGTACTCTGATACCAGATTGGACCACCTCAAGCAAATGTTTTGTATCAAAATTACAGAGACCAACTGTTTCAACTCTATCGTCTTCTGTAAGAAACCGGAGAGCTTTCAGATAATCCGGATTTTCATACTTCATGTCTGTTAGTACGAAACACATTACTGTAAGAGGGCCATTCTTTGAGCTCTTACAAATTGCCAATGAAATTGCAACAGATTAATCTTCTCTGTCTGCAATCGGCGGCATCGCTCGGTGACATTTGCTTGTACAGCCTCTCGAGATACAGTCATCGGATGGAAAACGCAGTACTTTGTTGCTGTGAATATCGTTTGCCTGTGAGGGTATAGAGATGAAAAGCGTCCCTGTAGTGTGTAAGCGATGGGCATCGTTTGAATCGGTGTAATATAAACATACAAATATGACTTCAGCGTCACCGTAATGATCAGCCATGTCGAATGCTGTAAATCCTTGCCGGACATGACTTGAGAATTGTTCCACAATCTTGGAGGATGATGCAGCCCCCCAAGCAGGACTGGACATTTGCCAGAGCCCCGAAAATATCCGAGGAACCGTACGTCCATTCAATTGAAAAGTTTCTCTTGCTTGTTGAGGCAATGGTATCAGAGAGGTCTGTTTGCTGAGATCTTGATGCGCATCTAGAAGCGTAGGTCGAGGTAACCCAAGAATACCAGCCGTGGATATTAGGCTTCGTCCGAATGGATAATCATGCTCGGTTGCTTTTAGAGTATCATAGCAGCTTGTTAATGAGTGATAGAGAGCTTCCACCAATGCATGCTCTCCATTATCCATTACCCGCGTGCCAGTATCTATAAAAAGGGACTTCTGAACAGCAGTCATTGCTTGCACGATATCGCCATCGACGCTCGTCAAAAAGGTAAATAGTTCATATTGACTGTCATCGCTAGTTCTTGATATGAGAACCGTTCCCTGAGCGACTAAGTTCTGGAACAACTGAAGGCTTTTGAATGAGAGTCCACATCCAAGCATACTGCGGGCGATCTGCTGCGTCTTGTTCAGCTCGGGGAGACTTGGCTTTTTGTCTTTTCCTATTATCGAAGACAGAGCTCTCTGCTCGACAAATTTCTTCGTCTCACATTCGAAAGCGTGTGTGATTTCTGGAAATAGTACCAAAAGTGCCCTCATCACCACACGAAGGCCATCGGCAGGGAGGTTGGCGATGATAGTATCCGTCATCATATTGACGTGCGCCGTGCTCACGCCGCCGCCTGGTTGTGTGATGGCCATGTTGAAGAATACTTAATTTGAGCAGCCAAAACTTTGTACGCTTCAGTTCTGTAGTTCCAAATGCGTATGCTAATGCGATATTTTATACTGAGCCGGCCAATATTTTTTTGGTTTGCTGAAGAGCAGATCACTCCTCTCTTCCTCCGAGCACGTCAAAACCTCGTGATCTGGCTTTGTACCCACGGTGTTAATCCCCAGCCCGCTCTTTCAAAGTCAAAGCCACCGGCGTTCCAACGGCTGCTTAGGTTGCCGGCCGGCGTCTCACCCCCCGCAGTGGAAGTTCACAGTAGCCTCGACTGTACTCGGAAGGCCCTGGACCTACTCCGTAGTGTGAGCTCTTTGCTTCGAGATTGATTGCCCAGTAACGTCTTGAGATCGTGATGCGGGGTTGCCAACTTGATATCGGAGCACCACTAATCGTCGTACCGCCTCCTCGGGATCCTCCAAGTTCTACGACTAATCTTGCTTTCGGATTGTCTGGAGTCCGTAAGAGAACTAGCATCTGTGTCAGGCCCACAGGCTCCACAGATCCTTGGATGCCATCGTTTTCGCGTCTTGGCTATTGTGTCCCGCGGCTGAGTTGATTGCTCCACCACCAACTGACATATCGGGTTGTCGCGAACCAGCTAGGCTACACGCGTTTGTACATTGCCGTCACCATGAATGCCTGTCTCCCATGTCGAAAAGTAAAGATGAAATGCCGGCAGGGCAGCCAACCGGCTTCTAAATGCGAGCGTTGTGCGCGAAAGTCTCTTGACTGCGTGTTCCAACAGCACCGTAGAGGCCGGAAGCCTGGGACAAAGTAAGTGAGACATGACTTTCCGCTGAGTTTGGGTTAACGATGTGCTTGTAGGATCTCTAAGCGGAATATGCCTACATTGCCCTCCACGTATGCGGCTGTGAAGAAGACGCCGGACTATAGCGGTGACACTCCATCTATTGCAGAGAGTGTGCCTGCAGAGGAGCCTGGCAACTTGCAGCCGTCAGGTTTGCTCAACCAGGAGGCAATGAGAGGCAAGTTTTCGTTGCGGCGAATACTGAGTACCACAGACGGCGATGCATTGGAGCCGCCCGAGAGATCATCTCCAAGTCGGCCAGAAGACCCAATTGAGATGGGAATACTAAACCTCTCCATTGCCAAATCCCTTTATGAGAAGTTAGTGATTGCGATTCCCAGAGTGACGCTTTAGAAACTGATGCAAGAGTGTAGTTTCATCATTGTTCTTAATCCGTACATCAGCCAACTTGATCCAAATCTACATACTTTCCTCTATGTGCGCCAGAAGTCATCTTTCCTCTTCACGGCCGTTCTGGCAATGTCCGCAAAGACATTCAACCCTGTCATGTACAATGCGCTATACGACCATGTACAAGACCTATACACCGAAAGTTTTCGGAATGGCGCCAAATCAACAGAAATTGTCCAAGCCATCCTCATTCTCACCTACTGGAAGCAGCCCCAAGACACGAGAGCTTGGACCTCCTTGGGTTATGCTATTCGCATGTGTATGGACATGGGATGGCACAAGTTGACGGCCTATTCCCCAGCTGGCCGTGCTACCGCGGATGAGACAAGACGACGAGAAATTCGCAACATTGAGAGAACGTGGTATGTGTTGTTTGTATATGACCGAAGGTATGTTTCGTTGCACATTTGCTACCACGTGACCAATGTTAATATCTTCCAGCATAAGCCTCCAAACGGGACGGCCGTGGATGATTGAGCGAAACGCATTTATAGAGTCAATAGAGGCCTGGTGTGGTGATCCAATCGCGGACCCAAACGACGATTTGCTTGGCGCATTTGTTACCTTGAGACTGATGAGTTCTTCAATATTTTCTCTCCATGCTCCCCACTCTCGACGAGGCGAAAGAGTGCCGCTGGAGAATACGGAGGCTCTGCTTTCGCTTAAGAAAGCCAGCATCGAAAGATGGGAGCGCCATTGGATCCAAAACGTGGAACAAAAGCAGTCTTCAGAAGATGAGACGCACAAATTCTTGATACGGTTTTATGGGACGCATTTTCGACTACAGCTCTTTTCTCTGCCACTACAAGACGTGCTGTCATCAGAATTCTCGGATTCATCTCTCCACTTGGACATAATCTGGGCCGCATTCACCGGAGCCATGGACATGCTGAAGCTGATATCGCGCCATTCGGGGCAGCTGTATTTTGCTCAAGATTCGATACACGTCATGACTGCCTATAGCGCAGCTTTCCTTGTCAAGGTATGCTTCCTGACGTTGTGCATTTCCTAATAATTCGAGATACTAATTGTTGGTATTCGATACAATTAGCTCCTCTTGTCTGCTCCTGACACTGTCGTTCAAGAGATAGAGGCCACGACAATAGATGTCATTCGTACCGCCGCCCAAGCCTTCTCACAACAAGCGACAGCCCCAGGCACAAGCTGTGAGCTGCAAGCAAGATTCCTTCATAATATTGCCACCAAACTTTCTCAGAGAAGAAGGACAGAACAACCGACACCAATCGCGAAATTTTCAAACAGCGATAGGCATTCGTCACTGGATCAAAACGACATAAACTCGACAAGACTTCCCTTTCTACCATTGGAAGTCAGTCAAGCCATGCCGCAGTCTCTTGATCAACCTCTCCCCGAAGTGTTCATTTTTCAGCACGCCGACCTTGACCCGTTGTTCACAGACGACGGTGCATGGGCGGATATATTATCAAGCGCCGCATTCAATACTCAAAACGGTGTTCTATTAGCCTGATATCAACCTGCCCATCACCAATCAAGCTTTATGCATTGATGAGACTATTGACTATCTTTCCCCTATTTATCATATTTTCTAGCTATGAGCCCAGTATACCCTATCTATCAAGGATGTAGCGGAACTACAGTTGTTTCAGAATGACTGAATGTGCGAACGCCCTCCCTGATAATCTTCAGCTGTGAAGGGCAATTTGGATCAGGACACGCAATCAGGGCATCGGTTGTCATCCAGTCGTTTGCAGCCGTGACTCTTTGTTTTGCAGGAAGGAGTGGGATAACGGTGGCTGCCTCTCATCAGCGTCTTAGACTTTTATATATATATACATATACGGACGTAAAGAAACGAAGCATAGAATGGTGTTTTACCTAGCGAATATATACTGATACCCTGGTTTGGCGGTAAATAGATCATTTCTCCTTGAAGAGTAAAGAAATCCCCTTCTTTTGCCCCACACATGATTCGTTTGCCTGGGGGGCATACAACTTCGACACGAAGGTCGTAAAGTTGAAACGAGTCGTCTTGATTATCGGTGTGGGCCATGGCGATATGATTGTTGACAAATAAAATGAAATTCACTGCGATAACATATAGAATATCCTCTGAAGTCTCCGTGTTATCAACCAAGGCGAAGATGTGACTTATTTACATAGAGCTCCGTATGCTATGCCTCACACCAAAGCCTCGTTATCTTGACTAAGTGTGTCGCGTGTGGAGTAAAACGCGTACTAGGGCGGTCAGACCGGCGATTCAAACCTGATGGAAAGACGCCGGCGTCGGTGTTCAAAGGCTCGTTGATGGCAGATCTCTACTAGCCAATCGATATGAACTATCGGATACCATGGCAGGTTATCAAGTCAATTGCCACGAACGCGCGCATTCGAAGGAACCAACAAAGAAGGCGAGGTGTGGGCGGAGTGCAAGGAGTCGGAATGATATGCGGATGTGATAACGGCGACAAGTATTTGAACAAGATCAAATCCCCCCAAATGCAACAACGGAAAAAAGACATCCTTGCTCACAAGGGTCTTCATTATCGCTACCGTACGATAGTATTACAAGCCACCACTCCCTGCTGCTTACGACTGTTTCCGCCGCTCTCAATTTCACGCATGATGTTCACAACTCAACCTTGTTATACTCAGAGCCATATGTGAGAGAACTCGCGAAGGCGCAGTTTGAACCTTCAGAGACATCTTCCGTCCAGCCCGACGTACTGTACGAAGTAAACGCACCCGCGTGTTCCAAGGCGCCAACCGCTGTCGTACAGCTCAATGGCACTTGAGAAAGACTTGGAGCGCAGTGTCGAGGTTGACACGCCCTCCAATGGAGAAATTTCTATGATTGCCCTAGAGGCTGGGGGCCTTAAACGGGACCTCAGTTCTCGCCACATCAATATGATTGCCATTGCAGGAATGATTGTATGTTAATGCAATGTCTCTTGATGAAATCATGGCAATACTTGGTCTCCACGGCTTCTAACCGCGTCGAACAGGGTACCGGTCTTTTCTTAGGCTCAGGACAAGCAATTGCAACCGCGGGCCCAGCTGGGGCACTGCTGGCGTATATCGTAATGGGGTTTGTCACTGCCGGGGTCGCATATACCACAGGAGAGATTACCGCATTTATGCCCGGAACTGGTGGATTTATCCGACATGCAACCAAGTTCGTGGAGCCGGCACTTGGTGCAGCGACTGGTTGGAATTTCTGTGAGTTTTCTTGTCACATTCTCATCGTGTTATGTCATTATACGGACGATTTCTTATTTCCAATGCTTACGCGCGGGGTTAGGGTATACCATGGCCATCACTGTACCTGCAGAGATCAGTGCCGCTGCTACCGTGATTCAATTTTGGAATGACTCTATAAATCCAGGTGTTTGGATCACCATCTTCTTAGTTGTCATTGTCACCCTGAATCTTTGCGGTGTACGTTTATATGGCGAGGTATGTTATTATATGCACAGACCCCAGATACAACACAGTGTTAACAGACACCAAGTCCGAAGTTGTTTTCGCATCCTTGAAGATCATGCTCATCCTCGGTCTCATCATTGGTGGCTTGGTGATTGATCTGGGAGGAGCGCCAAATCATGATCGCTTAGGATTCCGGTATTGGAAGCATCCTGGAGCGTTCAACGAATACATAAAAACTGGATCAGCAGGACGCTTTCTAGCCTTCTGGAAGATTATGCTTACAGCAGCATTCAGTTATGGCAACATTCAAGTAGTGGCAATCTCCGGGTCAGAAACCCGGGCACCTCGGAAGATCATCCCGGCGGCGACAAAAAAGACGTTTTACAGAGTCTTGCTATTTTACGTTCTTAGTATCTTCATCGTTGGCCTCATCGTGTAAGTTTCCTCTTCACCAGCAATCAGCTCGAATCATATACTCATATCTGCTCCTAAACAGTCCATACAACGACCCATCTCTTTCCATTTCCACGGGCACTGCTCAGCAATCTCCCTTTGTTATTGCATTCCAGCGATCCGGCGTAAAAGTCGTCCCATCGATTATTAATGCCATTGTGTGCACTTCCGCCATTAGCAGTGGCTCAGCTTGCATCTTCATCGCCTCGCGGACACTATATGGTCTGAGCTGTGATGGGCATGCACCCCGAATCTTTCAACGGTGCAATCGATTTGGAACGCCTCATTATGCCATTGGGTTGACTTGCCTTTTGCTGCCTCTTGTTTACCTAAACGTTGCCAACAACACGTCTGTGGTATTCGGTTGGTTCGTCAATATTACTACCGTCTCCGGCTTGATCGGCTGGGTAGTCATTGAGGCGACTTATCTACGGTTCTACGCCGGCCTCAAAAAGCAAGGTTATTCAAGAGATGGTAAGATCTATCTGTAGTAATAAGCGCTCGTGCATTACGACCTAAGCTAATAAATTATACAGCACTTCCATACAAAAGTCCATTGCAGCCATATGTTTCATGGGCTACTATGTTCGTGGTGAGCCTAGTCATCCTCTTTTCAGGTATGTTGTCTCTAGAGTCTGGGGCATGCAGGTTGGCACCAAGTCTTACAAACACGCCTAGGCTTCGATGTGTTCGTAAAAGGAAATTTTACGGCCGCTGGGTTTTTGACTTGCTATCTTAACGTTTTTATCTTTATTGGTACGTATTATACGCAACGCTTTGAGTCTCACCTGCAGAACCCTGGGTTAACATGTTGGCGCAGTTCTATATGTTTTCTTCAAAATATTCTTCAAGTCGAAACTTATTCCCACCTCTAAAATTGATTTTGAGACTGAGTTCTCGTCAATACGAAGAGAAAAGGATGCTGAGGAGGCCACCCAGTAGCCACTGGACCTCTCTTTCAAGATTTTTGGATCTCTTTCTCACCCAATAATAATATTCTTTCCTTCCTATCCATAATACTTGCCATTCATGCGTGAACAACGACCGTCTTAGTGCTATCGTCACTTTTGACAATGTCCATTCAGTTCTCCCCGACCTGTAAGCGCTGCCTGCTTCCATAAGCACAGCAATTAGCTAAACATCGCCGCCGCTGGCCATCTTGCTCTCTCGAGTCATTCACTATCCACTGCTCCATTCCGCTCCGATTTGAGCTTGCAAATATCTAGCGGCCGAAAGCGCTCGTCCCTTTATACAGATTGGGTGCTACCCCGCCCTCTACTGAAACCCACATCGGCGCAGCGGTGGAGATTCTAAGCCGTCGCAGTTTCTAGACACAGTATTTTTGTGAGAATATCAAGGCTTTGTCACGGTTCCTTACAGCGGAGCCGCCCGCTCAGCTAGATAATATGTCGTGGGGTTCGTTTTTCTCATGTTATCTGCCATGAAATAACCCCTCCTCCTCTTTCTTACAATACCCTCTCTCATCAAAAGCACGATATAGAACTTCTCAACATGGCTCCTCCCTCAGTCGACCTCACTGCGCCAAATGGCGTCAAATGGAGCCAGCCCACTGGTCTGTTTATTAACAATGACTTTGTTGCATCGTCCAACGGCGAGACAATTGCATCCATCGATCCAGCGTAAGGAAACAAATGACAGCAGCTGCGGCTTCTATCAAGCTGGATTTCACTAATGCGATCAAATAGCACCGAAGAAGTCATTGTCAACGTTCAGGCTGCCAGTGCCGAGGATGTAGATAAAGCCGTGAAAGCCGCAAAGGCAGCATTAAAGGATCCTTCCTGGAAGCAGCTGTCAGCTTCTGACAGAGGCCAACGGATGACACGTCTCGCCGACTTGATTGAGGCAAAGAGAGAGCTCTTTGCGACGATTGAGGCGTGGGATAATGGTGAGAGAATTCATTGCCTCGGGAAATAATGATAATTGTTTCTGCGCTTTGTCACTCTGCTGCTAGCAAGTAATTAACACTCGCGGTTCGTTTAGGTAAAACATACCAAGAAGCACTGGATGTTGATCTTGTCGAAGCTGTGGCTGTGATACGATACTATGCTGGCTGGGCCGACAAACAGTACGGCCAAACGATAAGCACAACACATCAGAAATTTGCCTACACTCTCCGTCAGCCCATCGGAGTCATTGGACAGATCATTCCCTGGAATTACCCCCTTTCAATGGCTACTTGGAAGTTGGGGCCTGCACTTGCTTGCGGTAACACTGTAGTACTCAAAGCCGCAGAGCAGACACCACTGAGCATCCTTGTGCTTGGAGAGCTTATCAAGGAGGCTGGATTCCCGCCTGGAGTAGTCAATTTCGTCAATGGACTCGGCAAGGATGCCGGATCTGCCTTGGTAAACCATCCATTGGTAGACAAGATTGCCTTTACAGGGTCGACGGCGACGGCATCAAGCATCATGGCGGCCGCAGCGAAGACTTTGAAGAATATCACGCTCGAAACCGGAGGCAAATCGCCACTTGTTGTATTCAAGGACGCCGATATGGATCAGGCCGTCAAGTGGTCTCATTTAGGTATCATGTCCAACCAAGGCCAAATCTGCACTGCTACGTCGCGAATTTTAGTCCAGGATGAAGTTTATGACGACTTTTTAAAAAGATTCGTCGAAACCCTAAAGGCGGTCAGCAAAGTGGGCAGTCAGTGGGAAAAGGATACATACCAGGGCCCCCAAGTATCCAAAGCACAGTATGATAGAGTGCTGGAGTACATTGACATCGGTAAAAAAGAAGGCGCCAAGGTTGCTGCTGGAGGTCATCCTCTTGACATTGAAGGCAAGGGTAAGGGTTTCTTCGTTGCTCCAACGGTGTTTACCGATGTCACCCCTTCAATGAGAGTCTACCGAGAGGAGATTTTTGGACCTGTCGTTGTTATCCTGCGATTTAAAACGGAGGACGAAGCACTGGAGCTGGCGAATAACACATCATATGGTTTGGGAGCTGCCGTCTTCACGACAGACCTGGAAAGAGCTCACCGCATGGCGGCTGAGATTGAATCGGGAATGGTCTGGATCAATAGCAGCCAAGACTGTGATCCGCGCGTGCCATTCGGAGGCGTTAAACAGAGTGGTATCGGCCGAGAACTCGGAGAGGCGGGTCTTGAAGCTTATTCTCAGATCAAGGCTGTACATGTCAACATGGGGAATCGGCTGTAAAGGTATCGGATTGTTAGATGAAAGAAAGTGTAACAGTAGATCAGCATTAGTATATAGCAGACGTAATTAGACTATATAAATATCGCTTTCGCAACAACTCATCAGCACCATAGGCTGCCAAGACACATTTACAACTTATAACATTGTCTTTGAGCTCCCAATTTATTTGTTATCGGGACCGTGGCCTCCAGTCTCATCCGGGCCCAATTTTGGGGTTTGCGATTCAGTGCATGTAAACCCTTGAGGGTTATTGACGTTGAAGCAGTCCCAGACAGACAACAACTGGTTGGTGCCCGCATGAACAACATCAAACCCCGTCACTTCGAAGTTGTCACAGCCACCGGCTGCAGCGCTGCATTGGAAATATACTGCCTCTGTCACTCCAGAAACGACTGTTCCGCTAACGTTCCTCCATGCGACGTCCTCCATCTTAAACAAGGAAGAATCGCAATCTTGACCAGCGAATCCGGAATAGTTCTCGCATTGCCAAGCGAAGAAGGGCTGCTGCCTTCCGCCAATCAGCTTAACGTTCTCAATCGTAATGTTTCGAGCGACACCGTATCCGCCACCGCCGCCGTTTGGAGGGTAACCTCGCGAGATTCCCGCCCATGTCTTTAGGTAAGAAACGTGAGCAGTATTTTTGAGAGTGATGTTTCTGGCATAAAAGTTCTCCAGGTACTCATACTGGTTATTATATTGCCCCATAGATCCAATGGCAAAACCCTGGCCATTCTCGAAATAGCTGTCGTAAACAGCAATGTTACTCGAGTTCATCTTGAGAGCGATGGCATCGTCACCATTGGAGATTGTCCATCTCCTGAACGTTATGCTATCAGAGAAGATGGTATCGCAGCCATCAGTGTTGAGCGTGCTCCATTGGCTTGTCGACGTGCTATTGACGTAGATGTCGTCTAGATCTACGTGTTTCGAGTAGGTAATCGCCATTGTCCACATCTGACTCTGGACAAAGCGCAATCTTCTGATAACCGAGTTTGTGAGAGTGCGGAAGTTGATGTTCATTGGCCTATGAGCCAAATTTCCTTGGCTCTTAGCCCAGTCGTACCATACTTGGCCGTTGCCATCGAGAGTACCGACGCCCCAGCCATCCCAAATCACATTGTTGCCTCCAAAATACCAGACCGTACTCTGGTTTTGGAAACCAACGGGCATAGATACTGAGAGCCAATAGTCGATGTCTGTACTCCAGAGGAAGCGGCCAAATTGATGGATGACAACATTCTGGAGATCTAAAGTGGTCATGTTGGTCTGAATGTTGTAAACAGGGCCGGGAAATATAACAAAGCTGTTGGAATTGCACCTGTTGTTCAGCGCATCCATGATAGCTGGAGCATCATCACCGCCATTGGCATTTGGTCGTACATAGCAGAAGTGACGATTTTGGGCTGCGGCTTGATTTGCCCAATAAGCTTCTGATTGGGCTGCATTTGCATCTCTGCTCATAACATCATGAGGCAACGAAGACAGCGCGAGGGCGGCGGGCAGTGCCGCTAGAATTAGACTTGATAAAGAAACCATCGTGTAGACAGAAGCATTCAACACCAAACGACCAGGTATCAGTAGGTGGTAAATACGATGAAGAAAATCTGACTACCTCCAGTCCAGTGACAGTTGTATTTTCACCAACGCCTGGGAAACCAAAGTGTCTTTTTAAGACAAGACAGCGGCATGCCTCCTTTTTGTATGTCTCTGGGCTTTCATAAAGACCTGCACCAATAATAGAGCTGTGGGCTTTTGCACATGGCTTTACCATGTGCGGCCGATGCTACCAAGCCAATTCTGAAAGCAGTTCAGCAAGATTTCCTTGCGTCACAGCTCAGATTAAACCCCTCTTCGCTTTTCATTTACACATCTACCGAGAACAGGTCTGCGCTAAGTCAAGTCATGCAAATATAGCCGCGGCCTCAGATGAATATCCAAGACAGAAGTAGCAGAGACTGGGCGGGCTCAACATGATCTGGGGATACAAGGGCGGCCCAATGGCGAATCATGCCACAGGAACCCTTGCTAAGAGGTGCTACGCCAAGGCTTTTTAGATGTTCTCCCTTCAGAATAGGGTGTGGATCTACCACTTGGCCTCCCTACAGTAGAAATGCCTACCATTGTGTTTGCCGATCCAATCGGGAGCTGAGGTGACGTCGTGAAAGGCTTGCCATGCCGTGAGGCACTACACCGTCTCGGATATAATGGCACTCTCACGGTCATCGGCCGAATACTTCGCCTCCATGGATGGCTTCAATGTTGACGGACGCGGAAGCCAAATGCTCTACGGTACGACTACCACCTAGCGCAATCGCCGCCGCTAGTTCTTGTCAGGAATACCCCAGGTTTTGCTGCCCACCACTTCGGGATATGAATAGCACGAGACCTTAGTATGGATAGGCAGAGCAGAGCAGTAAACAGGCAATCAATTGCATACACTTTGCATTCCGCCCGTTTGAAGCAGAAGGTGGAACATATCCGGATCATCGGCTTCTGGATCACACAGTATGTATGACATGTTTTCCAAGCTAAATCTTAGTGCATATCACATCGCACCAACAATATCACATTAAATGAGTCGAGGTCAAAGGCTTCCCTTTGAGCAAGATCTAGAACTCTGGAAAAGCAAGACATCAGGTCAGTCGGCTGCCGGTGGGGTAAAAGGTGTGTAGGTTTTAGATCCACAGCAGCGTCACACATACCAATACTACCGCGAAATTAATGGGCTGTTGGTTGTATGTTTTGCTGTGTTGGGGTTACATGTATGTAAGAGGCTTTTTGGCCAATATTCAATATTATATCCGGTCCGAGACATACCCATGCTCACCGTATTGGAATTTTAATTTATTGAACGTATGCTCGTGCAGTATGGACAAAGTTATATATCGATCTTTTTTTTTTGAGCCCAGCTTATAAGCCTAAATTTTGTGGCTGCATGATTTGCAGGCAGCAGAGGAAGAAAATGCAAGGAGAATTGCAAGGGAACCGCTTCTAGCTCGTATTAGAAAGAAGAAAATCCACCGATATGCCACGGCCCCGCCTCGTGCAGCCGTTTGGCGTATCGCAACACTATAAATGCGTTGTGGTTATTTATTAGAAGATTAGCCGCTCGCAGGGGTAAAAGAGGAGTCTATGACGTTCTTTTTCTTCTTATGATTTTAAAGTTCAATGTTCTCATGATGTCTGCCAGTCACTCGCGCCAGTATTGGCCGATTACAACCTGCTCATCATCAAGTTTACATGCAGCAGTAGACATGTGACAAACTGTTTATATACGGCAACAGTTACCTGCCTATTTCATGGCAATACACAATGTCCGGCCTTGATTTTGGGTGTCCATGACTTGGGCACATGATGGTTCATTGGTCATCATTGTGACACGAACGATTCACGGACAGTCAAGTTCAGGCTCGCTAGGTACGGAAATAGAGTAAAGATCAGCGTGCGGGGTGGTAAAGCAACCATGCTGTTATGTATGTACAATAAATATCCGTAGGCTTCTATCTAGAATACAAACCGATGAGAGTCGCTTCAAGTATCTAAAATTGGCAGTATGTTGATACAAGCCCAGGAATATGAGTGGACTACGGTTTAGACACATCACGAAATCCGGGGTGCCGAGTGCCTTGATGTCTCAAAATACCATCTCCCCTATGCATTATGTGGGGCAGAAGCGCCGTTCTGAGTACATTGAGATTACTGCTGAACCAAAGTATATGAGCATGAACCATCCCGATGCCCGTGACTCAAGTGCATGAAAAGCTCTCGTATTCCAGCGGCAATTCTGCTTTGTACACTCAGCCCCTCATTGCATCTGGCTTTTTTTACGCTACGGGCCGAAGGGGAAAAGGATCCGTATACGGAGTAGGTATGCATGATTTAATCTGAGTTATGCACCTCACGTGTAATACCATACCGACGTAAGATCGTGGTGAGCATAACAAGACTTCAAATCACCTAAGGACACCACTGTTACCGAACAACTCTACTGCAAACAAACAGAAGGAGAAGAAAAGAATAAAGAAAGAAAAAGAGCGCCACACTATATATGGAGTGAGGAAGAGAACGCCTTCCGAGGACAAGCATATACCCCACCCGTAGGCTCGCATGATTGGAGAAAAAAAGAGAAGAATCTTAGGGTATTAGTCGAGAATGAAGTATTACTCATATCAAAATGTGCAGTGACGGTTTGATATCTCACGATGAGAACTTGTTTCGTATAGTATCCAAAATATTCTACGAGCTCAATGAGGCTATCACCGTTATCTTCTTTTTGTCAGTGGCATAGCTAACGATGACTTCAACCACGACTGCAATCGAGCTTGCTACTAGCTCAGCTCCAAGTCCGGCATGGAGTTTACGCAATTCCAGCCTTAAGGAGACCCAACCATCCAAGACATTCACCGTTACCGACCACGTCCTTGAAGCCTCGCGAGAGGCCGACTCAACGGCCCCCGAAGGCGGGTACGGCTGGGTGATTGTAGCCAGTGGCTTCATTTTACTCTGGTGGTCCCTCGGCACGACATATGCTTGGGGCGTGATGCAGACCGCCCTGGTCGCCGATGGCTTGGCCGATCCCGCCGTACTCTCCTTCGTCGGGTCGTTGCAGGCGGCGTTGATCTCGGCTCTGGCAATTTCTAATTCCTTCGTCGTGCGAAAGACGGGAGTCCGTGCTGCAGCAATGCTAGGTGCAGCTTGCATGGGTGGGAGCGAGATCCTCAGCAGCTTCACGGTTAAGAATGTTGGGGCGCTGTTCTTCACCTCTGGGGTGTTGATGGGAATAGGTGTCAGGTGAGAAAAAATAACAAAGAAATTACGACGACATGCCTTTCTTCCCTTTTCTTCTTCTTTTTCGCCAATGTTGATCGTGGAAGATAAGGTACGATTGCTAACAGGGAGAGCACTGTAGTCTTTGTTTTGCAGTAGGCCACTCTCAACTTCCACCATATTTACATGCATGCTTCGTGTAATGCATTCAACGCAGAGCATCCTGCGGCTAACCTCGAATACGAGCCAGGTCATTTCAACGGTCCCGTCACAATACTTCAGCACCAGACGAGGACTGGCCAATGGCTTCATGTTCGCCGGAAGCGGTTTCGGAGGCGCTGCAATCAGCTTTGCGTTGGATTCGTTGATCCAAAAGCTAGGTGTTGCGTGGGCATATCGTATCCTCGGCCTCATGACCCTTTCAACGGGTCTTCCGGCTGCGTGGCTCATGAAGGAGAGGATCCCAGTTGAGAGACGGCAGTTTATTGAGTGGTAAGTCAACGAGAAGTAAAAGAATCATGCGGACTATTGCGCAGCTTGCGATCATTTCACTGATCCAAACGCAATTTGTGTCTCTCGTTTAGGAAACTATTCAAATCTCCCACATTTGTGCTCATATTCGTAGGGAGTGCAATTGGGACCTTTCCTTTGTTCGTTCCACCATTTTTTATCCCGTTATACATGAGATCACTAGGCTTCTCTACAAACGCCGGCGCTGGCTTGGTTGCAGGTTTCAGCTTATCTTCCGCGGCTGGCCGTATTATATCTGGCTTTGCGTCCGATAAAGTCGGCTCCATCAACACTGTCCTCGCGTCTCTGGTCTTGACTGCTGTCACCATGTTGGCAATTTGGCCAACGTCCACAACGCTGGGGCCACTGATCGCCTTTGTCATTATAAACGGCGCTGCAAATGGGGCTTTCTTCTCCACGATGCCGACTGCCATTAGCAAAGTTTTTGGGAGTGCCAGAGTAGCTGTTGCTATGAGTATGGTGGTGACTGGCTGGGTTGGTGGTTATCTCATGGTAAGCGACTCGAACGAACATTCTTACCCTTCGTGTGTATTAAAGACTAATATTCATCTTGCCTATAGGGGGCTCCAATTGCAGGCTACATTCTAGAGGGCTTCGGGGGTGTCGATGGTGGTTTGCACGCATACAGACCGGCCATGTTTTATGCCGGCGCACTTGCGCTTGTTTCTGGAGTCTTCATCTTAGGTGCTCGATTTTGCATCAACAGATCTCTTCTGGCTATTGTATAAATTTTAGGGTAGAGCATATGTGATAGATTGGGCGCAGGTCATGCCCAGGCAAAAGTTAATAGACTTGGAAAAGACAATAGAGTAACATTATTGCAATCTGGATATTCTTTTCTACCCTAAATTTACCAATACAGATAATATTACAAATACCATCTACTAAACTCAAAAATAGATTGGATATAATTTACAGATGTTTGGTCCTTTCTTCTGCCTCGGCGATCCATTGTCTGGTCTTGGCTTCATCTCGCGGCTTCAGCCCAATCTTGAATGGTTTGGGATCAGTTGTTAATGAGGTGGGTGTGCCATTGCAGTCAATAGGGTGAATGACTGGGGCTTGGGTAGAATCTTTCGTGGGTGTAATCTCGAAGCTCGTAATGAGACGAATATATGCCGTATATAGCTCTCGGTTGGCGAGGTGAGAACCCGCGCACATTCGAGATCCCGCTCCATATGCGTAGTGAGGTGTACCGATCTCTTTATCCTCTAAGAACCGCTCAGGGAGAAATTGTTCTGGAAGTTTGAATCGAGCATCGTCATAATCAGCGGCGTATGCATTCTGAGTAGATTGTTAGCATCTCATAATTCAGCTCGGATATATCACAGCGGCTGTGATTATGAGTCAACATTACTAACCATGAAGAAAGTGGTTCCGGCGGGTACGACAGAGCCCTCGTAGGGGATATCTTTGATGTTGACACGGGGGAGGCAAATTGGAATTACGGTCCAAAAGCGAAGGGTTTCCTTGACGAGAGCGGTGATGTAGGGTACCTTTTCCTCAACAAGACATTTTTCCCAGGCATCTCCATTGGGATAGACCTCTTGAATAGCTTCGAGGGCTTTGGCCTGTATACTCTGACCATGCTGGGTAGAAAGATACGCCATGCCCATAATGATGTTTCCAGGTACTGTATCTAAACCGGCAGACACCATTGTCAAGCAAATGGACTTCAGTTCAGCTACAAAATCACGAAATTTAGTCCAAACAACATTCATCGGTAGATAGTAGCGAAATGATATACTGACCTTCATTAAGCTTTGCTTCTGGATCCTTGAGAATATTTCCCGTAATGCATGGCTTATCGGTACCTTGCGCAATTCTGTCCTTCAAATCATTAAGCATATCGCCCAGGTATTTGTCACGTCGTAGGCGATACTCTTCCGCTTTGGTGTTTGTTTTGCCAAACATGCGCATCAGTGGTATATAATCTTGCCAGTTATTGCTCGTAGATCGAAAATTAGAGATTTCACGCTCCACATGTGTGATTTCCGTCAGAAGCTCGCTGGTGACGTTGCCCTCGATGCGGAATCCGTAGTTCAAGGTCAGTGACGTGTTGAGCGCAAACCGTGACATGTACGGACTGGGATCCACATCTTGTGAGCCTCCCATGCAGTCGTTTAGCAGCTCTTTAATGCTCATCATTGATTCAAGATCAAGGATGGGCATGTAGGACTGAACGGCAGGGCGGTTCAATGCCGTGGCGGCTGCCTTGCGGCGTCGTTTGCAAGATTCATCCCAGGGGGAAGTACCGATTGTAAAACCTTGGGATGAGGAGACGACAGAATGAAATGTATGAAAGGTTGGGCGAGAAATGAGAGATGACTGATGGGTGATCCAGAAATGCTTCACTGCGTCATAAGAATTGACAAAGACAATCCGCTTGGAACTTGGTCAGCGCATTGTTCTCTCAATATATAGTTCAAAAGGAAAGAAAAAACATACTCTATTTCCGAGGCGAGCTTGAAAGACAGGTCCATATTTAGATGCCCATTTCTTCGCGACTCGAGCGTGATCGACGCCCAGCTGGAGTAGATTGCCAAAGACGGGGATGCCGGGAATCTCAGGGATGCCTTTGACTTTCGGTGTATCGGTAGCATTGAGTATCTTGAGAACAACAAAGACGGCAGCAATAATTGCTATACCCAAAATTTGATACGCCATGTCTAGCTGCAAAGCGATTTTGCTTGGCGATACCTAGTAGGAAATAGCTTCTTTTATGTCCCTTCACCTCCTACAATCTCGCTTTTGTCCAAGGGAAGCAACGACTCTATTCAATCCATCTAAAAGCAAAAACAGAGCAGGTGCAAGAGCACTACTTATACGTCTGCAATAGGGGAAGACTCGAGGAGCACCGGTATTCTGGAGCTTGTTGCAGTATGAATGATGTCGGCAAATACGCTTCTCATGACTGGCTCGTCATAGCATGAGGGGCAATAGGTGAGGGCCGTGAGGCGGATAATGCGGGGAAGAGGGTCATTGCTTCTGAGTAATCTCTACAAGAAGAGAGATCGAGAGAGATGAATCCGATTCCGGTTCCGGTTCCGATTCCGTATCAAAAGCTTCAACTTTATACTTTACAGATGGTTTGTCTTATATGCCAATAGTTTGATCAGAAGAATATACCTAGAGAGTTGTTCCTTTCATTGAATTGAATAGATCTTTCTTTGCCGAGGCAATTCTCAATTTTGTAAAATCTGGCCGAACATCATTCTCTATTCTGGGTCTCAGGTGGCCAAGCCGATACGCTAAGACTGGATTACACAAGAGGTGCGTATACTGTCTCTACCCTATATAACATGGAAATACTTCACAAATTCATGTTTTATCAATTATTCAGGATATTCCGTGAGTTACATACACTGACATGTCTGCTAATGAGTGAACGAATTGGTGCATTATATAATATTTTAGTAGTTTGTGCCTACAACGTAAGGACAATGAGATTTCCATAAGATATACTTATTAAGTGAAGTACACCGTGTCTAGCTCTTGCAGTAACACCAAGCAACACCAAGGGCGTCGCATCCCTTCGAGCATAATACTTGAAAGGCTGAGCCCGGCGGTAAGAAGAAGTTCAATTATTGTCACTATCTTCAAATTGACATTATCCGTGATAAATCGCCGACACAGCCTCACTATTCTGAGTAATGAATCGCGAAGTTGTAGATTGGTGTGAATACATGTACATGTCGTCACCAAAGACATAGCTGACATCTCCCCGGGAGAAACTCAGAATTAGTGGCTGTCTGCAGCTAAAGAGTTCAGTTAACATCAAATGTAATCGATCCATCTTACAGGAGATGCCGGCTAGATATTAGCGTTGGATGGCGCATTCATTCAGCTCTCTCTAACCGCAGCATACTTAGACAATGGTCTATCAGCAGCCCAACTTGGGCATGTGTGTTTGCAGTTACTGCGCAAAGACTATATTCTATCTGTATAATGCCATGCTAAATAATTTCGTGCAGCAGGTGAAATGGGTGCTGAAGATCAACCCATTCACCGCTGGATGACTGCGGAAGTGGTACCATCAGCTGGTACCGTCAGCGCTATGGACTCATGCTATTCTATTGACGTTTATTGCCATGAACAAATGTATCAGCCGAAATGCACAATCCAACAAAAAAAAGAACAAAGAAAAGACAAAGCCGCTTTATACCCAGATCTAAATATAGTCTCCGGTCCGGTTGATCGGTCATACTTGGAAGAGGTAGGATGGGCAGAACTTTTCGTCTTAGCGACTGTACGGCTTACTTTGCCGCTGCTCGCTCAGCCAAATAACCCTGGACATTAGGGCGGACAAGGATGGCTTCCCTCAATTTCTTCAATGGCTCTGACAGTGCGTCCTGTCGGTGGTGTTCGCATTAGTGAAACAGATTCGGATAAATGAGTTTCGTACGGAGTACAAGACACCAAAGATGTAGTAATTGGGGACAAAAGAAATCGCAAAGCGTAACTTACAGGACCGTGACCAATGGCTTCATCATTGTCGAGGGCCTGGAAGACTGCAAAGTCCACATAGGTCGGCTTGTTGCCCAAAAGATACGGGCCACTGGCGTCCCGAGAGTAGAAATTGGTGAAAAGATCTTGGAACTTCTTGACATGCGTGCCCTGATAATCCGGGGCCTTGGCGGTCAATTGGGTGACCCAGCCAGTCTAGCACTGTGGTCAGCGGAGATAATTCATCCACGGCATCATAATAGTGGGTAGATGTTGGAAGGTCAGCCGGTTTCAGCGGCATGAATGATTGTACTTACCCGCCAGTCATTGTAGATGTCAGATACGGCATCGACAAGATACTTTTCGTAGTTGGACTCGCCATCGTAAGCACCGGCACGACGGGAGAGATACCGCAGAATGGCGAGATGCTAAAGATAATTGTTAAGCTAAGCGACCGCGGGTGCAAGGTGACGCGTACGTACCTGATACAGCCTCTGCCCATCAATTTCCAGGATGGGTAGAGTGCCGGTCAAACTAACGCCCGTGGACTTGTTGATGGATGGCCATGTATCGTCGTAGACGTAGAACTTGTTCTCGTATTCGATGTTGAGCTCTCTCAAAAACAACCTGGTTCATGGATCAGCACTCGTAATCTGTGGGCTGTGCACCAGGCACAATTACCGGACAATTTCCCCACGACCGAGGTTTCCCAATCTAAAGTAATGGAGGACGGGAGTCGACATGACGACGAAGGCAGAAAAGAAGATGTTTACAGTTTGGGGAAATATGCAAAGAATGAAAGATGTAGCTTAAGTCAGACTACATACTAGTCGGCCACCTACACTAGTCGGCCACTGCTTTTTTCCCTTTAACACCATTAACCTACATTAACCTATATTATTAAAATTGTAATTTCTTAATAAATTATTAGCTAAATTTAAATTTAATTAAATTTTTAAAAAAGTAATAACTAAATGTATTAAAAATACTATTCTTTTTATATTAAAAAATATCTAAAATAATATCTTATAGTAGAAGGCTATATAATACTAAAGAGTTCCCTAAATAATATTATAGACTTAATTAAATAGTAGTTAATTAAAATCTAATATAAATAAATATCTTTAATACTTTTTTAAGCAATAAGAATTTTATTTTATTTAATAAATTTTAATTTAAAGTAATTTAAAACTTTCCTTAATATATTAGTAAGTATTAAATACTAAGGAGTTTTTAAGTTAGAAAAAAGTATTAAAGTTTAAGCTATAACTTTATAGCTTAAAAAAGGTTTATAAAAAAAAAGATTTCTTTTTTATTTTAGAAAGTTTAAAAATAAATATAGTTATTATTAAATACCTAGCTGCTAAAAAGTAATTAAAATATAAATTACCTTTATTTTTAACTTTATTACTTTTTTTTTTATACTTAGCTTTTTAATAAGTTTATCTTCTTCCTAAAGATAAAAAAATTAATAGAGTAAAAATAAAAATATAAAGTAAATTTATAATAAAAAAGTAATATAATATTAATAAGGAATTAGTAATTTTCAAATTATTAAAAAATAAAACTTATTTAGAAAATACTTTAACTATAAAACTTTACTTTAATTTTATAAAGTAAGAAAATATAATAGCTAAGGAATTATAAAAATATATTTTTTAAGTTATTAAAAATTTAAAAAAAATATAAGATAATTAAATATTTATAAAATCTAAAAATAGGAAAAAAGTTAATTTTAAATTTTCTATTATTATAAAAAAATAAAGTTTAAAATAAAAACTTAAAATATTAATATATTAATATATAAAGGAAAATATAATTTCTTATTTTTTTAAAAAAAAAACCTAAATAAAATTATAAATATACTTTATATATTTAAATACTAAATTTAAAATAAAACCTAATTAATTTAAAATTAATATTATAAAAATTTAATATATTAATAGCTATTTAAAAAGTAATATAAAATAGTAATAAACCTTATATTAATTTAAAAAGTATAATTAATTTTATAATAATTTAATATATATAAAATATATTAAATAATATAAAAATAATATTAATAATATAAAAAGTTAAATATTAAATACTATAGTAAAATTAAATTATATATAATAAAAAAATACTAAGAAGTTTTAAAACTTTTTATAATAATTTAAAATAATATAAAGTAAAATATTAATTTTATTTTTAAATATTTTTTATATTACTTAGGTAATTTAAAAATACTAATTAAAAATTAAAAAGAATATTATTAACTAAGGATTTTTATTAATTAATAAGAATTATATAGCTATAGTTTAAATATAAAAGTTATAATAAAATAGATTATTAATAAAAATACAAATAAATTAATTAATATAAACTTAAATAATAGTTATTAATATAACTATTAAAATAATAAATTTTTATTTATATAAAAGAGTAATAAAAATATAAATTAACTAAAAGCTATTAATAATTTATTTACTTTTTTATAAAAAAAATAAAAAATATTTAAAATATATTATAAATATAAAATAGTAAAATATTATTTTAAAATTATTTATAATATAAAAATAATAAATATATTAATAAAATATATAATAACTTTATCAAGGGAAATTTAGTAAAAAGTATTAATTAAAAGTCTATATTTATTTAAAAAGCTTAGAAATTAAGTATTTACCTATTCTAAAGCTTACTTAGAATTTCTTTTATTATAAAAAAAGCTATTAAATTATAAGTAGTAAATAAATAAATATCTATTACTATTATACTTAATAATAATAATAATATTAATATAATAAGTAAATAATTAATTAATAATACTCTACTATTATTAATTAAGGATTTTACTTTTAAATTAATATATAAGGAATATAGTTAACTTTATAAATATATAATATAAGTCTTAGAAATGATTAATAACTAAGGAATAGTAAAAAGAATATATTTAAGTTTTATTATAGCTAATATATTAAATAATATATTACTAAGAAAACTATAAAAAAATAATATTAACTTAGTTATTAATACTAAATAAAATATTTTTTATTATTAAATTATATTAAAAAGTTTATAAATAATTACTTTAGTATAATAAATATATAAATAAATATATAAAGCTAAAGTATAAATAATTTTTATTATTAAAAAAAAGTAATATTTATTATATAATATAATAAATTAAAATACTACTATAATATTTAGTAAAAAAAAAATACTTAAAACTTTATTTTTTAAATATTAATAATATATAAATATTTTTTTTAAAAAAAATAATATTATTAATACCTTTAAAAAACCTTACTTACTTTGTTAAACTTAAACCTAAAGCTATATTTTTTTAAAAATTAATTTATTCCTTAGTAAAGAAAAAGCTAATAATATTTTATAAATATATTTAAATAGCTTTATAATAAAAATAAATATAATAATCTATAAGCTTTTATAAAGTACTTATATTATTTATCTTTAAAAAAAAGGTAAACTATAATTTTATATTAATTATTATCTTTTAAATTAAGTAAGTTATAAAAATTATATATTTCTTTTATTAATTTATAAAATTATAAATAAACTTAGAAATATAATTATTTATAGTAAATTTAACTTAAAAATTATTTATTATTAATTATAAATTTATAAAGAAAATAAGCTAAAAGTAGTATTTAAATATAAATATAAACTATATAAATATTAAGTTATACTTTTTAAATTTATAAATATATTAGCTATTTTTTAAATATATATTAATATAACTTTTAGTAACTTTATTAACTTAATTTATATTATATATTTAAATAATATTTTAATATATAATAGTAATTTAGTAAAATATATATAATATATTTTTATAATATTAAAAAAACTTTAAAAATATAAATTATATATTAACTTATAGAAATATAAATTTTATATTACTATTATTTTTTATTTCAAATTTATTATTAATTTTAAAAAAATTTATATAAAACAGGATTATATTAAGGTAGTAGCTAATTAACTAAAACTTTATAATATTAATAACTCTCTTAGGTACAGAGGATAAACTACCTAACTAAGATTAAAATAATAGATTATTATTAAACCTTTATCTAGCAGCTATTAGCTAACAATAGCCTAGCTAATTTACATTTTCTCTTTTATAATTAATTTAAGTTACCTTTTTTTACTTTTTTTATTCTTTAGGCTTTAGTAGACCTTCTTTACGGCGTTAATAATATCTTTATTATAAGTTTTTATAACAGCAGCTATTATCTTAGCTATAGTTATAGTCGGTTTTTTATTACTTTTAGCTATTATAGCTGTTTATAACGTATATTAGCTATTAACTTATCTTATAGTAGTTATTAAAAGGGTTTATTACTTTTATAGTGTATTATTTTATTAAGTAGTCTTTTAATCTTAAAAGTGTTGCGTATGTAATTTATTTTTAGGGATTATTACTGCCTTTTATAAGCTAACGGAAGGATTAGGCCTATTTAATCTAGTTAAGTTATTAAACTATAAGTTACGGGGCTTAAAGTATAATAGTTACGTTATATTTAAATTTTATTATTTAGGCCGTTTTATATACTTTAAGTTTAGTCTTAAACCTTAATTAGCTATACTTTATAGCCTAAATCTTTAAGGTTTAACTTAGTCGGCTGTGGCCAATTGGGTTGGGCTACGGATTGATTCTGGATTTTGAACTAAAGGCTAGGGTGTAGCCTTCCTTTGACCTAGCTATTATAGCTTTACTGACCCTTTTGATAATAAATATAACCTTTATAAAAGTATTTTTAACTTAAAGTATATTATTTTAATTAATAAAATAAGCTTATAATATAGCTACTATAATTATACTTTAAATAGTAATACTAAGGGTAAAATATAATTAAATAAAAATTAATATATAAAAAGTAAATTAATAAAAAAAAACTTACTAAAGTAATAAAAGCTAATATAATAAAAATATTATAAAAAAAGGTTAATATATTAAATTATATTTATAAAGTTAGAATTTTATAAATATAAATAATATATTTTTTAAGTAATACTAAAAATATATTAAATTTTTTAGTTTAGTATATAAAAATAATAGAAGTAGTATTTAAAGGAGTTTTATAATATACTTTTTTATAAATTATTTATAAATATTTAATTTTATTTTAATAAAATAATTGATAAAATAAAATTACCTAAGAAAAAAAGGGAATATAATATTAAATTTAAAGTAAGGGTATAAATTACTTATATTAATAATATATAATTATTTTAAAATTAAATAAATATATTAATATAATATTAATTAATACCTTTATAATAATAGTATTTTAGGCCATTATTTAGCCTTTTATTAGTAAATAAAAAATATTTTAAAATAAAAAATATATACTTTATATATTATAGTAATTATTTAATAAAAACTAACTTATTTTTTAATAATTAAAATAATATATATAATACTTATAAAAATAAGCTTTATAAATTAATTAGCTAAGTTATATTTAAGGAAATATATAAAAAAAACCTACTTAAAAATACCTAAAGAAAGTTAATTAATTAAAGCAAATATAATTTTTATAAAAAGTAAAAGTAGTTAATTTTAAATATAAGTACTTTATTATAAAAGTATTTATATAAAAAAGTAAAAAGAAAATAAAATACTAATTTATAATAAAATATAAAATAAAAAATTCTTCTTTTTATTATAATTATATTATTAAATTATATATTTAAATTTATTCCTTTATCTTTAAAAGCTTAAATTAAGTTACTTTATTACTATTTAAATAAAGCTATTATAATTTTTAAATTTAAATGTTAAAGTTTTTAAAAAAAAATTAAACTAATTAATTTATATAAAAGAAAGTATTATAATTAATACTAAAAATAGTATAAAGGTTATATTTATTATTAAAAAGGTTAGTAAAGTTATAATAGCTAGGTTAAAGGAAGACTACGCCCTGGCCTTTAGTTTAAAATCTAGAATTAATCTATAGCCTAACTTAATTAACTAGAGCTAACTAAGTTAAACTTTAAAAATTTAAGCTATAAGTATAGCTACTATTATATTAAGGTTTAAGACTAAACTTAAAGTATATAAAACAGCCTAAATAATAAGGTTTAAATATAATATAATTATTATACTTTAAGCCCTGTAACTTATAGTTTAATAACTTAACTAGACTAAATAAGCCTAATCCTTCCGTTAAGTTATAAAAGGTAGTAATAATCCTACCTAAAAATAAATTATATATATAATACTTTTAAAATTAAAAAACTACCTAATAAAACAATATACCTTATATAAAAGTAATAAACCCTTTTAATAACTAAAGATAAGTTAATAGCTAATATATATCTAATGCTACTATAAACAGTTATAATAGCTAAAGGTAATAAAAAACTAATTATAACTATAGCTAAAATAATAGCTACTGTTATAAAAACTTATAATAAAGATATTATTAGTGCTGTAGAAAAGGTCTATTAAAGCCTAAAGAATAAAAAGGGTAAAAAAGGGTAACCTAAACTAATTATAAAAGAGAAGATATAGATTAGCTAGGCTACTGCTAAGTAAAAGAATTAGCAGAGTACTACTAGCTAATAGCTACTAAATAAAAGTTTAATAGCAACTTATTATTCTAATCTTAGTTAGGTAGTTTATCCTTTGTACCTAAAAGAGCTAAAGATAGTATTATAAAAAAAAGGTAGTATATTAAGTACTAAGGAGCTTTTAAGTTAGAAAAAAATATTAAAGTTTAAGCTATAACCTTATAGTTTAAAAAAAGTTTATAAAAGAAAAGAATTTCTTTTTTATTTTAAAAAGTTTAAAGATAAATATAGTTATTATTAAATACCTAACTATTAAAAAGTAGCTAAAATATAAATTACCTTTGTCTTTAACTTTATTACTCTCCTTTTTATACCTAGCTCTTTAATAATAATTTTATATTAGTAAGTAAAAGGATCTTCCTTAAATATTATTATAAAGTTAAAAAATAAAGCTTAATAAACTATAATATAAAAGCTAGCTAGCTTAAATCTAGTCTTTAGCCCCTTAATATTAATAAGCTATTAAAAACCTATTTAATTATTTAAAAACCCTTAGAATTAAAAATAATCCCTAAAATAGTAAAATTAATAATTAAGAAAAAAAGGAAAGTAGATTTAATTAATTTTAATACTTCTAAATAATTATAATAAATTTAAAAAGTTATATAATTAATTAAGGTTATATTACTAAAAACCTAGCTGCTATTATAGAAAATTAGTAAGTAGTTAAACTAATAAAATACTATAATAGTAGTATTAAAGGTTAAAATTTATAATTTATAGCGCTAAGTTAATAGCTTTTAACTATAAAAGAAATAAAAAGTAAAAGAAAACTTAAATAATTAATTTATTAAGATTGAAGAAATTATAAATATAAAGAAAAAAATAAAATAAAAAGTATAGTAAGCCAAGGAGTCTAATAAAGTTAAAATTAAAATTATTAAAATTAATAATATTTATTATATATTTCATCTAAAATAAAAAAAAAAAATAAAAAAAAAATAAAAAAAAAAAACCTTATTGTAATTTTTTTCCCCTTCTTTTTAATTCCCGATTAATGTGGCCGACTAGCATATGTGGCCGACTAGTATGTGGTCTAACTTAGGCAAAAGCTAGTAAAAAAAAAAACACCAACGGAATCATCTATATATATATATTCAAAAGATTGGACGGGTGTCAACTATTGCCTCTATTGCCTCTAGTGATTAATAATAATGCAATTGGAGTAAGCAGATCAACAATTTGTCGCAGTGGCAGTGACGCGAGCCAGCATTAATGCCCTGGGTTACGAAGCAGGGAGTTAGCAAATACGACCGGCTATGTTGACATCAGGAAGTATTTTAAACTTGACATGTCCTCATCAGGTAATTAACGCCACAGGAGATATAGTTTCCGACTCAACAAAGTATTTGAATACTCTCATATTCTTCGCCTCAATCAACCATGAGGGGCTCTCTCTCCGCAATTCTCTCGGCCATGACTCTGCTCCCCACCGGGGCTTTGTCACAGAGTGGAAACTCCCGCTCTCCAGCCATATTGCCGCTAAAGGCTCGAGTGCGGCAGCCCGAGGGATATCAGCGGCGAAAGCGGCAAACGCCCAACATCTCGGAGCCGCTGAGTAATTGGTATAGCGGTACAGATTTGCAGGCAAGTTTAGGGCATCTCCGGGCAGCATTTGAAGCTAATCGATGGTATAAAGTGGTACGGAGAACTAAATGTTGGGACGCCGCCGCAAACTCTGTAATTAAATCCTTTACAATCGCCAACGCGGTTCATGTTTGCTGATTTCAATTTCTCTCTATAGTACTGTGGTGTTTGATACCGGCTCATCGGATGTCGTGATTCCATCCACACAATGCGACGCAAACCCTGGATGCACCGGACTGCAACATCGATTCGCCCCGGAAAAATCAGAGACGTTTACTTCCCTTAATGGTTCATTCCGAATTTCATATTCTACAGGAACCGGTGTCGTAGCTTCAGGCAATGTCGAGATTGAAGGTGTGATCTCGCGAGATGTGATTTCTGTCGCAGGTCTCCAAGTCCAAGACTTCCAGTTTGGTCTTATTACAAACCAGTCGGCCGCGCTTGGCGTTGATCCGTTTGACGGAATCGTGGGTATGGGATTTCCATCCGGCCTGACTACTGACCCGCATACATTTCTCGGCGGCGTAAATGGCAGTGGACAGATCCCGGAAGCTGTTTATGGTCTCTACTTGACGCCGCAGTCCGTAGGGCACGCAGAAATTAGCCTCGGCGGCGTGGATAGCTCCAAGTTGGTCAGCGAGATCAACTACATCCCGGTGTTTCCAGCGACAGGGCAATTCAACGGACTTTCGAAAAAGTCTATGTTGACAATACGATCACCAATGTGTCCTCCAACTATGCCATCTACGATTCTGGCACAGCGAATATTGTTGCTCCAAAGAATGATGCTGAGGAAATTTATGCAATGATTTCTCCGGATATTAAGCCCGTCGATTCAGTGGGAACATACGGGATACCCTGTTCAAAGCTGAAAGATATCAAGTCGTCAATTTCTTTCACCATTGGAGGCCGCAATTACACAATTCCTTCCCAGGAGCTCAGCGTTGGGCCAATCTCAGACCAGCCAGAGATCTGCCAGACGCTTATCAACAGTAGTGGTGATGAAGCGAAAAGCTTGTGGGTAATTGGTGGCAGCTTGCTAAAGTACTATTATACAGTTTGGGACATAGAAAATGTCCGGTTCGGGCTTGCTCAGACTTTGCATTCGCCTTAGAGCGTGGCGCAATATATGGACTCGAAGGACAGAAGTTTTGCGATGTTTCATGCTCTCCAGTTTACCTCTGGGGCGCGGATTGTGCAGAGATACTACGATGGGCATATCGCTGTTGATTTTATGCAGAGCACGAATGTCTAGGGTTGGATAGGTTGCATCTAACTTTTCTAAACCTGTGCCATTAGCTCAAGCAATTATTGACCTTTACTACAGGATAGAAGTTAATAGAATATATATTATTCTAAATGGTTGATGGCCTACCATCCTACGCGCCTGGTAGCGTGTCACTGAGACAAACGTGATTTAAGCAAACGCTCGCGCATTATTGACCAAGATCACAGCCAGCCCAATAGTCATTAAGCAGCAACAGGCTGCTGCATAATGTTGTAAACGAAGTCGTTGGCTTTAGTATAAATGCCAGGGTGAGATTGCGAAGGGATGCATATGCATGGGCCAATATCAAGAACTTACATCGTAATGTCTTGTCAGCCTTGGGATGCTTCTGCAAACAGAAGAAAAAGCCGAGCATGCCAAAAACAAGAAGGAGCACCGCCAATAATAATTGTGTTGAGAGTTTCAGAGCATCTAGTGATGCAAGAAAAGTATGTTAGGGGGAGCTGAAAAGAGATACTAATGGGACCTTCCATAAGAGAGCACGTCTTAAATGAGCTGGGCAACCGGCGTTTATCAAGGAACAGGGAACAGGCGTTATCATGAGCAACAAATCGGGCCGTGAAATTAGATACTACAGTGGCTGCACTAACTCGACCCAAAACACTACTACCGTGGTCTTACTCGTACACCAATACTAGTAATAATGATTCCATATCAACAATGTTCACATCGAATCATCTACATTCATATTGACTCATTTATATTTATAGTGGTATTTAATTTTAATCATGCATTAACGGGTCGCAGAAAATTACTTGCAATAATAAATGGGCAGCCTGTGTGTGCATACGTCAATGCCACACAAACGACAGTGCAGGAAATCCCTCGAGTCAAATTGGGCTCCTTATTTTTGGTTTCGTGACATTGGAGAATGGAAGCATGTCTCGCGTACATATTGATCGTATATGAAAGAACATTGCATCATTATGAAGTAGTAGCATTACAAGTCTTGATATGATGATCACGCAGTGTTTAGAGAAAATGCCAGTTCCGTTGCATATCATTCAGTGTACTACTTCGAACCCCTTAGAACGATGTTTAGCTGATTTATTTATGTCACGAAGTTCGTAATACGACAATAGGATGATAGATACTGAGAACACATTATATGTAAATTAAAGTTGGTTAGGTAGTGTTCAGGTCTAAATAAATTATGTCCATCGAGAAAATATACAAGTTTGAAGTGGTATGTAATAAGTGATGACCGTTGAACAATCACTCGTGATTTACCTGTATCCAGAGCAGACATCCTGGTAAACGTTCTGCTGCAGGGCAGCGGCGTTAGTTGGGATGTAGTTGAGGTAGGTAGCATAAGAGTAGGTCCATCGGGGGTCGTTCAACTCGGTCTTCCAGGTCCAGTAGATCCATCCGTCCATTCCAGGAGACTCATACAGCTGCTGCTGAGCTGTGAAGAACTTGGTGAAGAAGTTTCCGTCATGCCAGTCGGCACCAGAAGTCATGCTCCACTCGCCAGTGATGGCAAAGTCCTGGCCGCTCACGACACGAGAGTCAGTGCAGGCACTGTGCATGAGCGAGTACTGGTCGCCAGTGTTGCTAAGGGCGAAGCCAATGTAGTTGTGGTCGTCAAAGCCAACCATGGGGTCGTTCTTGACGGCGGCGTTGCTGCGAGGATCACCAGAATCCCACTTGCTGGACATGAACTGCACGTGCAGCTTCTTGTTGCTTGGGACGTTCAGCGCAGCCTCGGCATCACGCACAGCCTTGAGGGCGCCGGGGTAGTAGGTCTGGACCATGCTTGGGTCTTGGCCAGGAGCAGGGTAGCGGCCACCTCCATCGTGTCTGGAGACAGGCTCGTTGAGAACCTCAATCATACCAACAGTCGAGTAAGCAGGGTTGGTGTGGATGCGGTTGGTCATCCAAGACAGCCACTTCTCAGCACGGCCATAGTCGTATGAGTTGTAGAAACCCGCGGGGTTGGGGTTCTGGCCGGTGAAGGCGTCCTGTTGCTGACCACCAGGGGCACCGTGAAGATCAATAATGACGTAGATTCCGAGATCAGCGGCCTTCTGAACAACAGCATCAAGGTACGGAAGCTGGAGGTTGCCATCGGCGAATGGCTCGCTAGCCGTGTCGACAATGGCATCGTAGGACCAGTAGCCAATGGGGATACGGATAGTGTTCAAGCCGACATCGTGAACAGACTGAACGGTGGCGGGGTTAATCCAGTCCCTGTAGTGGTTCTGGAACTTGGTGTTTCCGGTCGCACGCTTGCTGCCCATATAGTTGTTGCGCATACAATCGAACTCAGAGGCGGCACCGTTGCAGCCCATGTTGTTGTTCCACTCATTGGACATCATCCATGGCTCGCTGATAAGCCATCCTTAATCAATCTATCAGCCTGATCTTCTAAATCTTACAGAAAATAGGATATTCACTTACCACCGAAGTTGACACCACGGATCTTGGTGATACCAGAGGCAAGCGCAGGCTCAAAGCGCTTGCCAAGCTGCTCAAAACGAGCGGTCTGGTTGAAGGCCTTCAGGTCGCGGTCTTGAGGCAGCCACGCAAAGGCGGTGCCGGCGAGAATGGCCGGAGCAACGATGGAGTACTTCATCTTGATGGTAGCTGTAGGAATTGTCCAAGAGTTGTCGGTGATGATAATAGAAACTTCGTCCTACTTGTCAGGAAACATACAGACTTATATACAGACTTAAATTGAGCCTTATTGAGCCTTATTTACAAGCTTGACTGTTTCGTGGTAAACATTCGGAGTACATGCCACGAGGACTATTCATGATGGCCTGGTACCTACCGTACGTATGTTGTTTACGCTGTGTGATGCGGTATTGCATTAAAACTGTTGACCCTGGTGTCTGTACCAAAACACAACGCCGGCCCGATTCGCGCCACATCCCTATTAATTCGCAACTTGTCCAAGCCGTGCTAGCCGGAATAAGAATCTGATTATGCTTACTGTAGCAGATAGCCTGAAAATTGAGTGGATCTTGTCCTCTAATTCGGCACCATTTCTCACTCGCATGCAACTTGTGCCCACCAGAGGTGCTGCTAGAGGTGCTAGCTCCTACCCAAGGGGGTTGCCAATTTTAACAGTCCTTGACGCATGATAATCAACCAGCTGTCAGTGCGGTCAACTGCTACATCGCCAGGCAAGCGCTACGAGCGGCAGTCCGCTCCCCCCGCCCAAGTTCCCAGGGCTGTCCTCCGCTGTAGCATGCAGGGTGGACCAATCTCAGGTCCAGGATCGGGGAATATCGACAGCTGTAGGAGCTCTGTGGAGCACGGCCATCACATCTGACGTCTTGAGCCGCTGTACTCGGTAATCCGCGCGACTAATCTAAAAAGGGGGTTTGGCACAGCCTACTCTCTCTGTACTTGTACAACCTATTATTCCCCCCTACCCTGATTTTGCTGCGGTTAAAAGCGTCCTCCGGATATGCGGTACCAGCTCTGCCTTATGATCTGCCAAGCCCGTGGTTCTTATGCCCAGATCGGGATAAAAGACTATTATTAGACGAATAGAGAGCCCCTATCCGTTAAATATAGTGAGTATGTGAAATAGTTGACAAATGTCTGCTACTGCTGCTGCCTGATATTTCACGGAGAACGCCGGCTTGGGGAACAATGTACATGTCAACATTGGCACGGAGGTTTTCATGCGAAGCGCTTCGTATTCCCCTATATAACTAGCGCAATCTTTGTGTGCATCAACCTTTGATCTGTTTCAAAACTTTCCAAGAGCGGCAAGTCGCTACAACCCAAATTAGCAGCTCGATCAATTAGCAGTGGGATAAGTGGAACACCAAATGGAGCACGAGTGTTGCCCAGAATGTTGAGAAGGGAAATTCGTATTCATGCTTCCGATTGGTTTCCAAACCAATCATGACTCGCAATTTACGCTGTACTGTACTCCGTACATGCCGGTCTTACGTTGTGAAGTCAACAAAAGCATCTCGTGAACCTCTTCTTAATCGCGCCACTCGATTCTTAGAGCTTCCTAGATAGGCTTGTCTTGCGCCATTTCATTGCTATGCCCCATACGTGATGTTGTTATTCACGACTATGATCTCCTTTTCTTGGATGAGAGAACTGAATTAAGAACTCACGCAACTTTATAGTCAGTCAATCTTGGTTACCGCGCAGCATACCAAGTTGAGGTCATTTGCTAGGAAAGCCATTATAAACAAAGCTAAGATCTGTACTGCGCAGATAGGCTCGACCACACCGTTATTAGTTTACAAGATAAAAAAACAACGAGAAATTCCTACTCGCTCGGCGCAGAGAAATTATTACCTGAGCATGCACGAACCTTAGGATCTGTCAATTGATATTATAATAGCTCCAGAGCCATGGCGCTCACGATTCTGCACACATCCTTTCAATCTCCCTGTCGAATTACAGCACAACTATGGAGTGGTTGGATTACTGGTTAGTATATAACCCATATATACAAGTGTAATATGCATCTCAGATAATACAGTCAAATTTATGAGAAAGTTAATCATTATGCCCCGAGTTGCTGGATAGTCCCACAAAACCTCAGATTCCGTCACCAAACCGAGATAGCCTTTACAGTCAGTAAGCTATGACGCCACAGTTGACTTTTGTAAAAGGATAGACTGAAGAGTAAATATAGGGAGTAAAGAATTACAAAGCATCTTGATATCTGGTCTACACTCTGCATTTTTGAATACGTACAGCATGTTGTCTGCTTCTTTGCCGTTAACTAAAGGAGTACATATCATTGCGTTTATAACCTTTCATCTCTGTCCATATATAACTCTCGGCACCGCAGTATCATTGGTGTCACTAAGGTTAGAGTTGTTATATCTGTGCTACACTCTCATTTATTGATCTCACTATGAGTGTCAACTTACTAGTCATTTCGTAATAATTTGTCTTCTTGACTATTTATAGAGGAAGACTAGGCGACAGCTAACAGATGCCTCTGTACATTGCAAGACAAGATATGTGAGTACAGTAGAGCCCGAGATCCACTGATGAAAGCTGATCCCTACGTCACTACGTTTATTTTTTTTTTAACAAAACTGGAATTCGAAATGAACATCAAGAACCAGTGCACTAATGTAGACGGCGAAGATGTGCAACAGCCTATGAGATTATAGCTTAAAAACAAGCATAGTTTGTTCTTGGCGTAAGCAACAGCTGTCTTTTGTTTAAAACATGAATCGTAACCAAAGAAAAAAATGTAGTTGAAGCGCAGCCAAAATGCGACGATCAAGGCTTAGTATGTGGAGTCGCATCAAATTATTGATCACTACGCTCAAATATAAAGCGGTTGAACAACCCTTATGTTTCATGTATGTCTTCAGCATTTAACAATAACTGTCAATTAAACATCGTATCTATACCAATTCAACAATGAGGAGTATTATTTTCGTGAGTATGCCTCTATCATGTCAGCTTGTCTCTGCGCAGGCATTTGGTGAAGCACAAGGCATCTCCAATGTCGATTGGCAGCTGGGAATGCGCAATGCAAATGCAACTGGAACGGCGAGCATCTCGGGATACAACGTTACCGCTAAGTATCCAGGAGAGAGAAGCGATAACTGGACAGTATCGATATCAGTGTCCAGCGATATACCAGGGGGAAATACAGCTGGTGGTCAATTTGTTACTGGTACCCAGATCGAGTGGACAGCTCCTCAAGGTTTAATTGGATCAGCCGATCCATCGTGGTTTCTCTGCCGCACTACTTACAGCAGCTCAAAATTGAAGAAATCCGGATCCGCTCCGAGCCAGGGAAGCTGTAATGGGATATTATCCGACAACTGCTGGAGTGATCTCCAAGAGTCACTTGAAGCAGGCAGACAGTGTCAAAATAACACTTTGCCTCCGAGTTGCGCCGATGAGCTTGGCTTGTCAGATGGAGAAGGGTTTGGATTATCATCTGGTAACTTCAACTCACTACTCTTTCCAAGAAGTAACTCTTTTACTCACCATGATACAGCACGTCCCGTCAAAAGCAATAGCAGCGACAGCACATCGCTTCAGCTACGGTTCGGCGATGAAAGTCACGAACTTGGAAACTTTACCACTTACGACAGCGCCATCCGACAAATCTGGGTCGTGGTCACAGGATTCGCCCAAGCTGACAGTGATAATGCACATCCAAGGGGCTCTGCCGGCCAACCAGGAAGCGTTGCATGCATCCAGGCCAGTGAAGTTCAGAGGGACAGTAGAGACTTTGAGGATACAGCCAGCATTGCACCTTTATCGCTAATGAGAATCTTGGCCGGTGTCACATTGGTGCTAGCCTTGATTTGAAGAAGAATGAACACCTTGCACGTCGCTAAGTGCGGGAAACTGGTAGCTTGTAAAGCTTTGCGTATAACTAGACATTCCATAATAGAATTCCTACTAGATTGACGTATATCATGTCTCCGTGGTGTCACAAGAAAAGAAACAGAAGCCGTTGCTTGGTAGTTGAATGACGAGCTCTTACTTCATGCTCAGCCAATCCATGGTAAACCAACTGTTTTTCCTTTTCAAAGAAAAAAACCACTATCCATTCTCTGACCATTTCGCTATGATCACTTTGAAGTCGTCGTAAACCTTTTTTCACATATAATACAATTTAGCTAAATTAACTGCTGAAGTGCAGGGTAAACAATCCCTTCCACCTCTCCACACTGCGCAGGATTGAAGATAAGATCCTACAGGGGTATAAGCCATATGAATCCTCGTACAAATGAACAACGGGAGACGAGCCAATCTGGACAGACCATGACTAATCATCTCACAAGTGTTTGAGGAGCTTCTCCTCTGGCGAGCGTCAGCCTGCACCATGTTTGTAAAGTGTGCAACTACTTTGATCCTCGCAATGGCTCAACAATACACGTTTATGGACCTTGAAACTACAAGGCACATACGTCTCCTAACGCTTCTCCCTGGAGAATATGATGCACCTTTACTGTGCACCATTTCAGAGTTTCCCCTGGATCAATCTCCAGACTATGAGGCACTTTCGTATGCATGGGGCGCCCCAGATGCCCAAGATGACGTTCGTCCCAGTTTGTCTTTGAATGGACAACGCTTCGATATTTCAGACACCCTAGAGCAAGCCTTGCACAGATTGCGAAGACCAGATATACCCCGGATTATGTGGATTGATAGAGTTTGCATCAACCAAAGGAACAAAGATGAGCGCAATGCGCAAGTGGCTATTATGCCTGATATTTATCGCGGGGCTGTGCGAGTGGTAGCATGGATTGGAGAAAAGACGCAGGACAGCGACCGTGCGCTGTCGTTCCTAAAAGAAATGGCCATGCATCAGAAGTATCAGCTGCGGCATACTTGGACAGGTGGAACCCGACTGGGAAGCGACACAAGCTCTGAATGTGGCGAAGGAAGATATATCAGTCCTACCGAAGAAAGAGGGGTTTCGGATGATGGTGAATCTGTTGAAGATGCATGGCAACCATACTCTCTCGAGTTGAGTGAAGAAGAAAAACAACAAATGAAAAACACGACGACGAGTGATATGTGGAATACGCTCATACTCAACAGCAAGCAGAGTGGGCACATTATCTCAGCTGCGCCAGTTTTGTATGAATGTGTATATTATCCATTCTTCAAAAATGCTCGACAAGAAGATTGGGAGGCTGTTGACAACCTACTTGCGAGACCGTGGTGGTCACGCACTTGGGTAGTGCAGGAGATTTGGCAGGCAAGGGAAGCTATACTCCAATGTGGCGGTTCAACCCTGAAGTGGAAAACAATTGAAAAGGCTATGACGTACCAAGAAGGGTGGGATGATATGGGCTGTCTGGTAAAAGGTACGAAAAGATGGAAAAGTTGGGCCTCGTTAAAGCGCCGATATGGGTTGGCGATCCATATCTCCCAGAAGAGACTTTTGGGTAGCAAACTCTCAGATCTCCTATGGAACATTTGGGATAGAGATGCTACTGATCCAAGGGACAAGGTATTCGCTATCTTGGGTCTGGTAGGAAAGGAATACAACGATACTTTGCCTGATATCGACTATTGCAAAACTGTTGAGCAAGTATATCGGGAGGCCGCTTCTTTCATCATGATGAAGGAGAAATCATTGGACCTTCTACTTGCTGCATCTGGCCTAAACCATAAAGAAAATTTACCCTCGTGGGTACCTGACTGGAGACGAGAAGCAAATGAACATCGGCCAACACTCTTCGTTAATGCTTCTTTGATGCGCATACAGTGCTATTTCATAGGCTCTACAGATGCTTTGTATTTGCATGAACATGGGTACTCTGCATCTGGCCAACTAGAGCCTCAAATAAGCTTCTGTGATGATTTCAGCATTTTAAACGTTCATGCCTTGCATCTGGATACTGTAACTGAAGTTTCGGCAGACCTTGGAAGTGTTCCGAGTGCGGAAAGTATTATCCAATGTGCGCACTCTATCCTAGATAAACTACATCACGCGGAACCTTTACAGCCGGAAAACGCCGTTGATGATAGAGAATTGAGAAGAATTCTTACAGCAGGGGCATTCATTGATCCAAATACTTTGCGGACTGAGGGTCAAGTCATCGAAAATGTCATGAGACTGCGACGCCTTTTTGTTACAAGTAACGGCATTTTTGCATTGGGCCATCAAAAACACAAGTTGGTGATGTAGTCTCAATCATCGTTGGCTGCAATTTGCCAATAGTCATTCGACCTAGTGGGAGCTGCTTCAAGGTAGTCGGAGAGGCTTATGGTATGTTCATTATACATTCACAGAGATCTACAAGTTACACTAACGACAAAAGTTCACAAATATATGGCCGGCGAAGTTTGGAAAGATCACCCTATAGGAACATCGAGATGGGTAGATATATCTTTAATCTAAAGATAACGAAATTGTGCAGAGAAGAGCTTAACTGATGCTGTATAAAGACTAGAGATTCCACTTTAGGGAAATATCAAGCTTAGGGGTATATGATCTCAGTATTGTATCGTCCCAAACCGACTCTTTGCCCTAATCTTCGGCCCATATAGGAACAAGATAAAAGTAATAGGGAGGAGAGCAAGCCCTAGAAATCCTATTAAGTTACCTGCCCAATTTATTCACAGATTTTGAAACACTAGACATAAGTTTTTAACTCCCATATCCTGGATTTTGAGGTGAGACATCACTTACTCGGAACTGAAAAAAGAGGAAATCCAGCTGCCAGTCCATAACAAGCCAGGCTGTTGGCAGCAGCACCGCTGGCAACAATGTTGCCTGCATATGTATCCCCAATATATTGCAGTGCGGCCACAATAATACAGAGGTTTCCCCAGACGAAAGGGATGATGGCAGCAGCAGGGCTAGCCCAATAAATATCCTCTCGTGCCGTCCAGGCGAACCAAAACAGACCAATTGGACCTCCTATACTGCCAATCATAGCAGGGTAGAGCCGGTGTTCGGGAGGAACCTTATGGGGTGGATATAAAGAGATTTTCTTCTGGTAGATGAAAATGTCGCAGACGATGATAGTAATGAACCTAAGTATACAACCTATGACGATTCCTAAACCGGTCTCTTCGACTCCAAAGTGATAAGCTGTGCCGAAGACATATGGCACAGCAGCGAAAAAGCTGAATTCGATGCCAAAGTTAACAGCAACGTACAGGCAAAGAAACGTGATGATGGGGTCTGTGAAAAGCATCATAACTGGGCGAATCAGAGAGACCTGAATGAACAACCTGAGCCTGGTAGAGAAGGGGACCGAAGGAGAAGCCTCTGTGCCTTTCTCCCTTGAGATGCGCTGCTTAATCTTCGCATGGTAGGTCTCTTCTGTAAAGAGGGCTAAGATCATTGTAAAAATGGCGGAGAAGATCATAGTCCACTGTGTCCACCGCCAGCCCTTGCGATTCGCTACAAATGATCCAATAACTGGTCCTAATCCAGGACCCAAAAAAGGTGTGAGGATAAACAGCGCAGATGCAGGGCCTCTTGTTCTTGGTGGCAATGTTTCAGAGATGGAGCCCGACGCAAGGGCCAGAGATGGACCCCAAGAAAATCCAGTCATAAAATGCAAAAAGCACAATCCGCCAAAGTTGTGGACAAAACCGCATCCAAGCGTAAAAAGGGTACCGAGCGGTAGGATAGTCGCGTAAACAGGGTAGCGGCCAAGCGACTCCGATGAGGGGCCACCTAGAATAGGACCAAAACCAAGAGCAATGACATATAGAGATAGTGGCAGAAAAGAGACGGTCAATGAGATGTCAAACTCTTCCATTAGCTCATCAGAAGCTGCAGTAATGATCGATGTGGTGATAGAACTGCTCGGACTACTTCAATTTTGGTAGAGCATATGTAAATTGTGGAGTGACTTACGTTACAAATCCCATGGCGCACAGCATGGCTAATTGGATCATTTTCTTCTATGTGGGTCAATTCCAAGGATTCTGAGAGTCGTCTTTCTAAGCATTTGAATGGTTCATGATTTTGAATGGAGTCCCAATCTCTGTAATGTCATCGCTGTCGGCGACGATTTCTGGGTCGGGACTCGATACCATAGTCGTAGGCATTCTCCGTAATACTTGTCTAAGGGAGTATAAAGTCTCTTTATCGAGATATGAAGATGATGCAGGCCAGATCTTGGAATAACCGAGTACAAGGATTGAGTTCTGATAATAAAGCGATCGAGTTGTGTGATCATCAAGATTGTCCACTGTATCTGTATACTGATACTTTGATGAATGGAAGAGATATCAATGGGTTGCACGGCCTTACCATTCACTTATATATATCTAAAGATATAAGAGAATTGCAAGGTGACTCGAACCTAAGGCGTCAATCTACAACTTTGGGAGATTGAAGAAGATTGGAAATCTACAGCGAGATTTGTAATGAGAATCAACTCCTTTTGCCAAGCAATAACTGGACCTGATTAGTGAACGTTTATAATTCAGTTCAATGCGATTCATACTGTTCAAGTACTTCCGAGCCAGCCTTGAGTTTGCCGTTCGCATGCTGCAGGTAATGTATCTTCTGGCATTACGGCTATACTTCATCAGCCGTCGCAAGAGTCTGACGAGCTTTTTTTAGAATATAGTAGTATGAGAGACACTGAAGGGGATAATATTTGACGTGAGGTTGTTCTGGAATAAGAAAAGAAATGCGTCAAAATGACCGATGCAAGTGACATTGTGAAACGTATTGAATTGCATACTTATACGAATGCAATGCCTTTACATGTCAAGAAGAATACGCTATTAAACATCGGCATAATAAATTTATATAGCTATCAAGGTTGCTAACCATCTTCATTATGTCCGAGTTTGTTCTATTTCTCGTTATTCTATGCCGTCTACTACATGCGCGATGATGTTACCCTAATTCCAAGGTGAAAGTAGGTCTCTGGGCCTATTCTCTATGGGTAATAGCTTTTATTTCCCAACGGAGCCTTATGGTATGAAGTAGCACCAAGGTTTCCGTGATGAGCAGATAGTGCCGACTCTAACTGGACAATAACATTATCTATCCGATCAGAAGATTGACATACATCCTCTGAATGCAAGGTAACGTTGATAAGAATTAATAGAGCGCCGATGGGATGCTTTTAGACTTTACCACTTGCGGTATATAACCTAACAGCGATAACTAATCATGTCGTTCACACTTTACTTTCGACTAGCATCTAGTTTTGTCGAGCGTCCAGACTTGTCTTTCCCCCAGTCTTCCCTTGTTAGAATAAATAGAAAGCCATGGAGAGCAGCAAACGAAAATTATTCTTCTTATTAAAGGTACAACCAATAATTATTCTTATGCTGTGGAAACTGACTACGCCGCGAACGAGTGGTAGAAACATCAACTTCTTTCCTTTATTAGGTATTATGCCGTCGTAGTCTTTTCTCCTTCAACCTCTTGCAAGAGGTCATAAGTCTTGAACTGCCTTAGTGGCACTCTTCTCTGAAACAGAATATCAAGCTCCTCAAACGTCCTTCCCTGGCTTTCAGGCAGCCTGAAATGACACCAGATGGTGCAGAAGAAACTGAACCCTCCGAACAAAAAGCCTGCCTTACCGCCCCAGTTGGCCTGGTCGCTATTTAGCATATACGGCATGGCGATTGTGCTAATAATGTTGAAGAATGATTGAACAGCAGTAGAAACGGCGATGGACTTTGTCCGCAATCGTGTAGAAGATATCTCGGAAATGACAACAAAGCATATAGGCCCAACGGTCATCTGATAAATAAACGTCCACCTTTACACGGGAATTTAGAGTTAGTGTGGAGATCCAAAAAATTGAACGACAAAAGAAGATGCTCAACTTACACATCCATGCAACTGGCCATCGCCCAGATTGCACCCGTATTGTGAGATGGAATGCTGAGGAAGCCGATGATGAAGAGAAGCAACGTCATCACCCACATGCCGGTATTATAGATTGTTCGGCGACCGAGTTTGAACTATTACTGTCAGTATGCGTACGTTCTATCTAGGGCTTTGGAAATTCTCACATAGTTTAGTAGAAACCAGGATGTGATGGTGCCGACGAATCCCAAGGCGGTGTTTCCAACACCCACTATTAACCGTTAGCAGTTGCATGTGTGTTGATGGCTAAGATACTAACTGTTGAATGCCTCTGCAGGATTGAGACCTGCTTGTTCAAAAAAGTAGTTGGCGTAGCCAATGAGCGGATTACCCGCAATGACTTGGATCAGATATACCATGATGGTGATCTCTGTCCGTACGCGGTTGACACCCTTGAACAAATCCAAGTAGCTCGTCGTGGCTTCAAATTCTTGTTCGAGGAGATCTGTCTGCTCAACTCCAAGAAGCACCTGGTCGATATCTGGTGCATTTTTAGAAGACGACAATTGCACCAACGCCTTACGGGCATCTTCCTTGCGTCCCTGGCGAACAAGCCAATATGGACTTTCCGGAGCAAAAGGTAGACCAATGAGGATAACTAACGGCCAGAGCCATTGAAGTGCCTAATCGTGTTAGTTACGTTGCCAAACTCCTCGAATATGTGAGAGCTAGTACATACAAATGGCGCCTTATATGCCCACTGATCTTCTCGGCCCTCTAGGCCGGCAGCAACTCCTTGTGCAATGAACTGTCCGATGACAAAGGCCAAGTTGATGAAAGCCGTGAGCAGACCCCGGAGAGCCAGGGGGCAAATTTCCGACGCGTATGTCGGAGCAATCACCACGTAGAAACCGTAAGCTAGACCGCCTAGAATTTCACCGGCGCAGAGCATCGAAAGAGAGTTGGCAAAGAATTGCACAAAAACGAATCCAATTGACCAAACACAGCACACAGCCAATGTCCATCTTCGGCCGAATCGTTCCATTGGATAGCCACTAGCAAGTGCACCGAGAACTTGGCCGATTGGGTTGCCCATTCCGAGGGCAGTTTGCCATGGGGCAGGGATTTCGTAGGAGCCATCGACAAGATTTCCGTATCGCTTTTGGAAAGCTGGGAGAGCGTAAAATGAGAAGATGATTTGACCATCATAACCGGACATGATAACGGCAATACTGAAAAACATGGCCCAGAATGTAGCCGTGGGATATTGTCTCATGGCCTGCCAGAAACCAAGCTCGTGTTCAGCGCGAGTAATATCACGCGTTACATCGATGTGAACGAGCTCTCCCTTCTCCCCATGGCTCACTTCCTGCCCAGCAACTGCTGCCTCCTCTTGCTTCTCCATAGTGATATCGGAGTCCTAACGCCTAGGTATTGGACCAACAGCTCGCTGCTGGATGCTGTGTTTCACGTGGAATGCCAAGCCGAGTGATGGAAAGCGAGTTACAGTTTGCGGATCTTATAAATATATACCATGGTAGGAATAATCGTTCTTTCTAGCGTATAGGATGTGACCATCGCTCGAACTGATCGGTTGTGTGGGGGGAAGCTGCTGGCAATCTGGTCAATCAAATCCAACCTGATTACGCCGATCTACACTAAGTAGGAGCTTCTTGACCCCAAAGACTTCCCTATCACGGGATAATCAACATGTTTGTCGAGAATGTAACGTCACCTGAGTCGCGTGTAGGTATGTAAGTACGAGGCACTCGGTCCTTGTTAGTCTGAATATTTCCGTGGCCGCCACAGCGTGGTTGATCGTACGTGGGGTAGATAATCGTTAACAGACCACCTTTCTTGATAAAGTCCCAAGGCGGTTGGTTCAAAATGTGCACAAGGAGGGGAAAGCTTCATTCTCAACCCCCTGTTAGCGTTGATAAGCTACAGTCCAGCGTGCCGATTTACCGAGAGATGGAAGAATATTGTGGCCATGATTGTAGCGCAAGGCGGGGGAGGATGCGGAGTAATTGGAGCCAAAGCTGAATTAATGCGTGTTCGGGCTACACCTCGGCAAGAGGTCACCAGATCTAGGGGCCCCGTAGGCCTGATAACACAAGGCCAGGGAACATCGCGTGTGTCTAAACATACTGCTATCTTTATGGTGAGGCGTTGACACGGATGAAATTGACTACCCAGGTAAGCTTACCTAGATAGTTCACTTTGAGCGTAACTAGGGGAGCTTTTACCCACCCCTGGACCGATGCAGCGTCCACTGATTGGCCTGGTCCCCTAAGTTTGCGCTTGTCTTGAATCCAGCGTTTGCAAGTGGCGTATGGATGGAAACATGTTGAAGCTGCCTCCATATCTCCGATAAACCGCTATACTGGCGGTTGGCACTGTAGCATGGCCTTGGATATCTATTTATCATTTCATGAATGCGGAGTCTAAGATGGCTAACGTTGCAATCTCGTCAATACGCCCTTCACGTGTTGCGCCACTGGATGATGCCAAACTAAAAAGAAGAAGAGGTGCAATACTTATCGCACCTAAATTATCCTATCAATTCCAGAGGAAGTATGGATGGTGGTTCTAGACCGGAAAATCTTATCATGGGCACCGTCCATTTTTTCCGTTAAGAAAAATAGATACATAAATAAAACAAACTCCTGTAGGGCGGTGGGAGCCAGAGGAGGAAGAAGTGATGGCAAATGGGGTGATTTTTAATGGTGTCGTTTTCGAGGTTCTGTCGCGCATCAATTTTGCCCAATCTGGTCCAAGCCATGACAAAGAGTTTGGTAATGGTTTGGTAGGTGACCGCTGCAGAGATGCAAAATATTTTGCATTTCCATATATTGCTATGCGTCAAGAGCATGATAACCAGTTGCGCCCTGTGAGGAGCATGCCAGATTTATCCGTCGGGCTAATCTCACCGCATCAAGGCCACTCCCTTCCCAGTACGGCTTTTCTAGCTTAGCCGATGGAGGCCAGCATCCCGTAGACCAGTGGATTTGGGGAGCTTCAACACCGATTCGCAGTCCGCAAAAAGTTATAACTGATGATATTATACTGCATCATTGGGTTTAATATCGAGCTTGGGTACTGAATTCTTGTTAGACTCTCTTTTTTTTTCTCCATAGCACATTGAGTTTCTCGTCCCGATAATACACCGTCTGGAAGCTTTTGCATGTGAGCTGTTCAACACGCACTATGTCTCTCAATTTCCTCGACGAGTCAATACAAGGCATTGATGTAAAAAGTCTGTATCATGTAAATATATTTGGCTGTGGTGTAGTCCAATTCCAACCTTCAGCCATGTTGAACGATCCCCATAGCCTTGCTAAAGAGAGTGCTCACAACTTTGGCCAATCTATTACACAAATTAAGGTTCGACATCAGCTTCGGCTGTTATGTGGAACCGCTTTGTTGCGGCAATGCGGCTATTGCCTCGATCGTTGATAGCCCCTTTCTAAATAGAGTGCGGCTAATAATCTATACAAGACACTGAAAGAAGGGTAAAGGGTCTAAACGCCTTTGTCCCTTCCGACTACTCGCTCACAAGACTGTGTCAACGTCATCTCATAGCTGACAACCATGGCAGTTTTATTGCCAGTGTTCCTGAATCAGCTCGTATTAGTTGCTGCTGCTTATGCCACTTCGTACTCCGTACCTATGAGATACTCAGAGCCAATCAAATGTCTCCTACTTAACAAGGCAGGACATGCGCTGCTATATACAAGTGTAGTTTTACTGCTGGTTGGGTGGGAATTTTTTACGAGAATGCGATTAGTGCTGATCGCGACTTCGTACTCCAGGCAGAAATTTGGATAATATTTTCTGAAACCTGCGGGAAGTTGCTTATCAACACTCAAATAGGGAGACACTGCGATAAATTATAATAGTCCAGTCTATCTTCTCTTTGATCATTGGCAACTTTTATTTGTCCCATGAATGTTCCAACCCAATTGACCATGATTCAGGACGGCATTCAAAAACCCATTGAGGAACCTGCGGAAAGAAGGCCAACTCTCAATCTGGAAACGATTCGCGAATTGGTTCGATCTCAAACGGGCGAAACAGCAGATCTGAAGCTTGATGAAGATGGCCGAGAGTTATTGTTTACGGGCGAATTGAAGGCGTCTCTCACTGACACCTCAAATATTACCGTATTAGTGTTTGACCATGCTATATTATTCGCTAATATCAGCTGGAATCAAAGCAGCAAAAAGATTGAAATCTACCGCCGGCCTATCCCTCTTGAACTTCTATTGCTATCTAAAACGCAACAGGAGAATACGCACACATCTTGTCTTAGACGATTCTCGTTTCTTGGGTTTATGAAGGCTAGCAGCGCGAATACCGTGAGCAAAGAAGCGTGGCCCATAACCTTTCTTCATTTGGGGAAAACAGGTTATCAGATGACTCTGTATGCCTCCTCTGAAGCGGATCAAGAGAAATTGGTGGAGCTTATCGGCACCGCTCGCGAGCGTCTGCGAGTTTATCCCGAATCCTTCAATCCCAACATAGTCTCTATCAATTTCTTCAAGGACTCAAGAAAAATAAATTGTGCTGTATCTTTTGGTAAGATTGGACCTCATGTTAATTCCTGGAGTGAATCAATTAACAGCCGTTCGTAGATCACAGGCGGAAAATATTGTATGGCACAGACAACGGCCTCTATCTTTCCAACCGCGAGAAGCATGATTCGGTCCCCGAGAAAGTGCTTGACGTCCAAAAGATTACTCAGATCGATATTTTGGAAGAGTACAATCTCCTACTGATATTGTCGAATAATATTTTACAATCTTATTCCCTCGTGAAACCGGATTCCAATGATTTTACGATCCTACAAAATCCGAAGACACTTCAGAAAAAATGTACCTTTTTCAAGGTCGGAGTCTGCGTAGGAAAGCACATGGTGTCGTGTGTTAAGTCAGGCTCATTGTCAAGTACAATCAAGGTATTTGAAGCAAGTCATACGGCAACCAGTGGTGAATCTATAGATGGCGGCCACAATGACCTTACACTGTCCAAAGAGTTCTACATCCCCAAAGAAACATTTTCAGTGCACTTCTTGAAATCAAAAATTTGCTTCGCCAGCCGTCAAGGGTTTGAAGTTGTCTCATTAGAGACGCTCGAAACTCAGACGCTTCTTGACGAAACAGATGCCTCCATCGAGTTCGCTCTCCAGAATGGCCCTAGGCCTATTCATATACAGCGAATCGATGAAGAATTCCTTCTTAATTACACTGACTTCTCATTTTTCGTTGACCGCAACGGTAAGCGATCTCGACCGCAGTTGCGATTGGACTGGAATGGATCACCTCAAAGGTTTGCTTTAAGCTATCCTTGGATATTTGCATTCGAGTCAAAGTTCATTGAGCTGAGAAATATTGAGACCGGGGCAATTCATATTATACCCCACAAAAATCTCCGTATGCTTCACTGCAGCTCTCACGAGGTATGCGAAAATTCATTCTGGGGGCTACTCCTTCAGACAACGATCATGTGCTAACTTCCCTATTGATTCTATATACATACGAGGATGAAATGAGCCAAGATGTTGTTGAATCTATTAGTCTTTAGAGACGCGGGGCGGAAGTTTGAAGCGAGATATATCGCAAATCAGGTTTTCATTAAGTTGAACTTTTGCAAGGGGAAAGATTGTATTATATTGTGAAATGAGAAGAAGCAGCGACCAAGAAGCAATTCTAGGGCCAGGCGGTGAAATCCAAATCTTCCAGACCATCTGCAAACGTCACAAGCACTGTCCAAATAGCGGGATTAACCTAAATGTAAGATTTACAGGAGGCAGAGGGGATGCTTCGACTAGATAGAACCTCACGCGCTCCCATTAATTATCTATTGCATTTGACTTCTGCCGCCTTGGTTACTCCCTTCTTTACTCATAAGTAGTGGATGAATTCTTCTGTCATGATGCCTGTTATCTCCAAGAATCTAGTACCATAAGGCAAGCATTGCCTTAGTCGGCAATTTCCGTCTGTATTGAAAGAAAGTTAAGTAACTAGGGAAATGAGACAGGAGTGATTGGTTTAAATTGCGCGGTAGTTTGAATGAAGTGTGTGCATATTCAACGCTTTGGTATTCTTTTCTTCCGCTGTTTTTAGGATCACACAGAAGTTTGTACAGCGACCAGGTCAGCTAAGCGCTAGCATATGCACGCTGTTGAGCACTGATTCGTGAAAAGGGTACCTTCGATGCAATCTCAAGAGGCTACACCAATGTGTACTAACTAATAACGAAACTCCAATTCAAATACAGGCTTAGTTCGGCGGGCTTTTCCCGACTTTGACGGGCTTTTTCCGGCATTGGCTTCATGAAAAGATCGGTATGATCCGATAACGAGGCTTTGTGTCGTACGGCCCTTATCTTACGCTGTTGCATGCTATGGCGGGCCCGGCGCTTAAGATTCATCTTCAGCTTGAAGTCATCAAACACATTTTGCGGCATGGGGTATCTCGTGAGCTATATAATGCACACATATATATTGTATCTCAACTTGATTGAAATCGCTCCATCTCTTGAATACGACAATCAAGATGATTGATAAGTCAACGCGAATATACATCGCCAAGCAGGCAGTCCTATAAAATGATACCAACGCTGCGGAGCTAAGGATCCAACCCCAGATGGCAGGTGTGGATTAACACACCATTATCAGACAGGTACCTATTAACGCAGGCTTTTCATCTTTGTGCAACTACGTGTACATATTAGCACGTACATCTAAACCGTATCGGGCATTCTGTACGAGTTATTGTTGGTTTCTATATGCCTTGTTTTAACCTTTGTAGCGTTTTGACACGATTGATGCTTCTTCTGTGCTCTATATATAAAGGCCTTTGATCTCGGTAATCTTTACCCGTCTCTGGTAACCATCATACCTATTCACTGCCTCAACCGACGCTACATAATCGCTACTTCAGGCTTCGCCTTGGCTAGAGCGCTTGCGAAATGAACCATGAACAGTATAACCAACGTATTGACTTTGTCAAGTCGCTTCTCCAATTGAATGCTCTAGAGGTATGGACTGATTCTTCTTGCTATGAAACATCATCTAACTTCAATTTAGGCAAAGAGCATCGATCCCATTGAATATGAAATGGATTGTCCATTTCCGTACAATAATTTCATCTATCATGTCACTCTGGAATCGCCCATCACTGGACCCATAAACATCAAATCCTCTGAGTCTGATAAAGCCCAGCCGGGAACCGTTCCATTTCCAGCACATTCAACATCACTCCTTGTCCGACTATCGAATTCGGACCCAAGAACTGGGCTGAATAACAACAATCGCGTTGAAAATGAAGTCGCATTCATGGCGCTAGCCCGACAGGCACTTGCGAAGACAAAATACAATCACATTATTCCAGATGTATATTCTTGGGCTGGTACAAATAGCGATCCAGCCTTCACTATGCAGCAATACATGCCTGGAACCATACCCGCAAAAACCTTTGAGACGTTATCTCTGGAAGATAAAGCCATTGTGCTTGGACAAATGGCCGATATTCTGGCCTTGCTCCAGCAATTTGACATCCCGAAGACAGTCGAAATGTTCGGGGGGCTGAAGTTTGATGAACACGGAAACGTAACTAGCGGCCAAATGTCTCTTTTTAAAGGAGAGCCTTCTGCAACCTACAAGGATTTTATTCGTTCCATCTTTAAGATGAAGCTTCAGGAGGCCGATGAAAACCCAGTCATAGTGGGCTGGGAAGAAAATGGGTTAAGAGCAAAACTTGACAAATTCATAGATCACCAACTTGACGAAACTTTGAAGGACTATGGACAAGTTCGGAGAGTGCTTATTCACGGAGACTTTAGTAAGTAACCTCTTCCAATTGAGCCTTGATTGTTTTGAGGCCCTCTAACTTGACATGATATAGCAACAAATAACACCCTGTTTGATGCAAACACTCTTCAAATGACTGCATTATTGGATTTTGACTTCTCCTACGTGGCGACGGCCGCAGAAGAATTTCTCGGGTTTTCTTTTGGTAATATATCAGGTGGCAAGCTTCCAGGGCCGTTTGAAACCGGAGCCCATCTCAGCCTTCGCAAAGCGATGCTCTCTGGCTTCACAACGCCTTTTGTGAATGCAGACGCTTCAGAAACCCAGTGGGGCGTGGCAGCGGCTTGGGATAAAGAGCTTGTGCGAGCTGGTGCTGCAAAACTTGCGACTATACCTCATTTTGAAGATATCGCAGATCTTTACTGGCTCCAGGATAAAATAAGTCCATTTGAACTAGACAGCCCCGTTATGAGGAGACGAAAAACCGCAGAACAGCTAAGAAGCATCCGAAACGAGACAGAGGAAATGATTGTCAAGTTTTTGGAACGCTTCAATATTTCTTCGGGTGGTGGTTTTAGCCATTAGTCTCCTTTCAAAAAGAACTCCCGCAGACTTCCGTCATACCTCATCTCGCGAGCCGCGTATCGCATGTTGAACGCCGGAACTGTCAACTGTTTGTACATCATTCCGATGAAGAGTGCAATGTACTTCATTCGCTAGAGTTATATATACAGGTGCATATAAATATGTCATTCTAAAAAATATCTGATCCGAGGCAATTCCCATTGACCGCTAAATTCCAGCAATTCACTTAGACGACTTCTTTAAGAGTACCAGTCTTGATATCGTAAACATAGCCTTTGGCATTGTCTTTAAGCTCCTGCCGAATGAAGTTTTGTTCTCTCAAAAGACTCAAATCTTCCCGGACACTTTCTTCCAGCCTAAAACTCCGTTAGATCTAGAATCCTCAGGTATGAGAGGGGACGTGCAGCCAGTGACTACCGTTGTGGTAAACATACCTATCGCTAGAACCAAAAGTATCCCAACTCAGTGAATCGACCTCTGCAACGAGGTTCGGATGTCTGACATTTAACTTTTCCTTGAGGCCTTTGTCAGTGTGATAGGTGAAGCCGCAATCTAATCCTCTCGTTAGAGATAATGCATTTTCTCATATCTTTTCCCCAACTCATCATTCAGTAATACCTGTATGGTGAATAACAATAATATTTTGCAACGCTCCTACTTGAGTTGCTTCCATAAAGATCAAATCATTGAGATTTGGCTTGACGCGTCCGCCACAATTTCTAAATAACAAAAGCATCTATGAACATAAAACGGATTAGTAAAGAGGCAACTAAAAGACAGTTCATACAATTGCGCACCTTCTGGTGAAGTCTGGAAAAACTCTTGAACAGGAACGCGGAGGTCAATGCAACAAACTATAATGGATCGTGTTAGTTATTAAGTTGGAAGACTCACCGGCTTCCAGATAACTTACAAATGATAATTGGAGATGGTTTGACGTCTGGAAGGTTGGGTCTAGGAATATGCGTCTCCGAGTACACTCTAGATCTAGTCAGTATGTTCTATCATATAAGACATATGGAGCAAGTTTAATACCGGTTTCGCTCCCATAATTCATCCCAAGTTGTCATTTTGACGTGGAACAGATGAAATAATAATTGGTGATTGTTATTTCTGTAGTAGTACAAGAGACCCGACAAAGCCAAGTCGCGATATGGAGTCGTGTGTCGAAGACTAAGACACCATAATCTCACTATACGTATTTTATAGTTATATACTTTTTTATCCCAAGAACTGTTCTTTGAGGCTCAAAAGGCCACCCCAAATAGAGATGTGGAATCATTGCAGAGAACTTTCTAATCGCATCGTTACAGAGTAGATCTATCGTCTTCTTGTCCTCTGATTTGTAATGGGCAATTAACTTTGAGAATGCGAATCTTAACCTTAGTGTGGAATGTATGAGCGATCTACTCCATCGGCATCATGGTTGGAGGCTAGCTTACTCCAACCATTATGTGGGTCAACTAAGCAATTGTCTCCAAGACTACTCCATGTCCATGTTATCTTTGGAGTAGTTTGTGATAGGGTAACCTCCACTTGCGTGAGAGGAGAACGCTGATCAGTTTCACACTCCAGACAAACTCGCATGTGAACTTTGACTATATTATTATTAGTATCTCGATTGCGCGTGGAGTAGTTGGGGATACTGCTCGCTCACCCAGCCTATACTGCGCTTGTAATCGACACTGACTGAAGTCCGTTGGAAAGCCTTCCAGAAGATGGGAAAGAAGCGGGTTCTGGTGAGCTGGGGCGTTGACGTTGACGCCGTTGCTGGATGGTTGGGATCGTATGGAGGCGAAAACTCAACAAGCGACATCAGCCGAGGCAAGACCAGACTTGAATAGCCCTTCAGATTGAAAGGCAAATATGCTAAAGTATTCTATGCAGGCATCTTCGCTGCCACTGTTGGAACTCAGCGTATGTTGAAGATGTTTGACAAATACAACATCAAAGCAACATGGTTCATTCCGGGTCACACTCTTGATTCGTTTCCAACAGAAATGGCGGCGGTGCGAGACGCTGGTCATGAGATTGGCCTGCACGGCTACTCGCATGAGAACCCAGCAGACATGACACTGGATCAACAACGAGTTATCCTCGACAAGACTTATAGACAGCTCACCGAATTTTGCGGCAAACCGCCAAAGGGTAGCGTTGCGCCATGGTGGGAAGCCAGTGCCGAGGGAGCACAGCTCCTGTTAGATTACGGAATTGAATATGACCACAGCCTCAGCCATCATGACTGTCAGGCGTACTATCTTCGAACCGGAGATTCATGGACCAAAATCGACTACAAGAAACATCCAAATGAGTGGATGAAGCCGTTGGTCAATGGCAAAGAAACTGGGCTTGTGGAGATCCCCGCCAATTGGTATATTGACGACCTCCCACCAATGATGTTTATTAAAGCTGCGCCCAACAGCCACGGATATGTAAATCCGCGAGACGTTGAGGACATCTGGAGAGACACCTTTGATTATTGCTACAGAGAGTACGACGAGTTTATTTTCCCAATTACTTGCCACCCTGATGTCTCGGGCCGACCGCAGGTCATCTTGATGCACGAACGGTGAGTAACGCGGACGCCTTACCAAATCCTGTTCATTTTAGTATATGCATTGACATTGCTTTTAGACTCATCGAACATTTTATGAAGCATGAAGGAGTGGAATTCGTGACCATGGGTTACATTTCTGACGATTTCAAGAAGCGAAACTCTCCGGCGGCTGGCGCTGCAATGCCGGCCCCAGCGGGATCCATGTTAAGACAGTCACCTATACAATAGTTCATCAAAATTCAATAGATACCCGGTTTTCAGTATCTAAATGTGACCACTACCGGGTTTTGCAGCTATTATCGATTCTAAAAGACTGGTGATATGTTCGAATACTTATTTCTCAGGCTCGTAGTAGTTTAGCCAGTACTTAGCCTCTTATATCTCTTTCCTATTCAATTCAGTCTCTAATATAATTTCGCATGATGATTAGCCTGTATATTCATTAGCCTGTTGAATGTAGAAGTCAAGTGTTGCTTTTCGTAATTAGGCTGTTACTTATTTGCTATTCTCTCTGCTAGCCTAATACAACAACCTTTGCCTGGATTGAAGACAGCTATTACAGCCGGAATATTTGTTTGTATGTTAATTACATTGCTTTCCCTACCATTATACAAGTAAATACTCTACATGTAGCCACGGATATCAGTCTCTTTATATATCCTCTGGAGGGTCTTCTAGCGAGTCCTTCGTAATTTAACCAGTACAAGGCAATTAATTGCGTGATCGATTTCATTTCTTCTACATCATAGTCTGGCATCAACACCTGTAAATATGAAAGCCCCCCTCTTGATCGCCCTTGGCATCGCGGGCGCTGCTTCCGCGTTTAAGGCTACAACCACGGTAAGTATATATGTTTCAAGGCCTGCTGAATTGTAGCTGACTGGAAATCCTAGCGCTATTACGACGGACAGGAGGGTGCTTGCGGATGTGGCTCGAGCTCTGGAGGCGCGGCCTCTTGGCAGGTAAGACTAGCCCTCTCTCAACCATGATTCTTTATCTTAACGTTTATTATTTCAATCTGTAGCTTGGTATTGGCAACGGAGTCTATACAGCTGCTGGATCCCAGGCTTTCTTCGATACGGCCGGCGCCTCATGGTGTGGTGCGGGCTGCGGCAAATGCTATCAATTGACCTCTACGGGAGAGGCGCCTTGCTCAACGTGTGGTAAAGGTGGCGTTGCTGGCCAGAGCATCATCGTGATGGTCACAAACCTCTGTCCTAATAATGGAAACGCGCAGTGGTGCCCGACCGTCGGCGGTACAAACCAGTACGGTTACAGCTACCACTTCGATATTATGGCACAGAACGAAATCTTTGGAGATAACGTGGTTGTTGATTTCGAGCCTGTCGTCTGCCCAGGACAAGCTACTTCCGATTGGGAAACCTGTCTCTGCATCGATATGCAGGAGACGGATACCACGCCTGTTGGTCTAGGCGACCCTGGCTCCGGTTCGCCGCCTCCTTCTAGCAGTTCGAGCCCGCCGCCAGCGACCTCATCATCACCACCATCCGGCGGCGGGTCACAAGTTCTCTATGGCCAATGTGGGGGGGTTGGATGGACTGGCCCCACGACTTGCCAACCTCCAGCTACCTGCAAGGCCCAGAATCAGTGGTACTCTCAGTGCCTTGATTAAGCAGTCTTGAGAATGCATGCCTCTGTTTCTAGCTGTATATAATGAACCGGCTTATGTTAGTAGCTTTGCCTGTAAGCTCGTCTTATAGGTTTAGTTAGGGCTTGAGCTTTTTAATAAAGCTGCAGGCTAGCTGATTGTGTCTCTGAGGAGAGGTTCGATATCTATAAAATTCCCCTTGCATATCAACATATTTCTGGTTATCAGTATTATGGTTAGTGATCAATACAACGCCACCAGCTGGTCTCCATACTCCAACAGCTCCATGCTCTCCAAGCTCTCTATGGTCTCCAACGGGATTGGAGTAGTGCTATCAATCCAACGAATGGCTGATGCTAACGATAGGACATTATTAGGCGAAGGAAATTAAATGGAAATAACAAAACTGAAGACGGCCTGGATTAGTTTGAACAGATAACGTTCACCACAGAAGTCTGTGGAGACTCCTAGATCTTCATGCTAATCGGCCCACAGTACCCCAGGTTCATGCTGGGTCTAACTGGTAGATATCGTTATCTATGTTGAATACAAGTATGATGGATGATATAATTCAGGAGAACCCCAGGACTAATTATGCTGCTGGAAAGATTCTCTTCATCTTCAAATGCTAGATTTCTTTTTACACTAGCCCTTGAACACATTTGGGTGTAATCCACTCTCCTGGCTTTTAACTCCCAGATCCAATTCGCAGACCAAGACTCCTTAGACTCTCAGAGTGAAGATTCTTCAATTCTACTGCGGTATTTCCATTACGTTAGCCATGGGCAAGGCACCAGAGACGAGTTATGAGGTTGACCGGATTGAAACGACCCTTGGAAACGAAGAGGAGGGCGCCGATTTCTCGAAACAGGCCGATGGCAGCAGTTTTGAAGTTTTTAGGAGAGAAGAGGGCGCTGTCGATTTTCGGACCGTAAGTTGGCCTCATGCGTCAGTAATCTTCCTTAAATGTAAGAGTCACCATTTTCTCCGTTCTTCATAACCCTCTCGGGAAAGTTTTACTGACAGTACGTTTCCCAGACATATTCGCTACGGGGGTACTTTCTATTCCGTCTTGCATGTTTGTCTTGGGTGCGTTCCCTGGGGCAATCAACGTTGTCGCTTGGACGATGCTTAATACCTATTGCGCCATCATTCAAGGCAACTTTCGGAACTCTCACCCTCGTTGTCACTCAATCGCGGACATGGCACATCTAGTTGGCGGACCTTTGCTACGAGAGGTTGTGAGCATCTTGTTTCTGCTGGCTTACATCATTTGCGCAGCCTCTGGGATTTTGGGTGTGTCTGAGGGCCTTAATGCTCTATCTGACCACGCAATCTGTACACAGTGGTTTACTTTCGTTGCTACTGTCATCGTGGCAGCACTGGCAAGTGTCAGAAAATTTGAGAAGATGGCCTGGCTTGCCTGGTTGGGATTTGGTTCCGCCTTTGTTGCTGTCCTGATAGTCGTGTAAGTTCAAAACGGCGATAATGCGCCCAAACATTTCAGACTCAACGGAAGCTGATGACATCCCACAGTATCGGTGTTACAAGGCTTGATCGCCCGGCAGCTGCTCCACAAACCGGGGACTTTGACCTGGGATTTCATACAATTGGCTCCCCTACTTTTGTTGCAGGCGTCACAGCGGCAGCGACAATCTTCTGCTCCAGCGCCGCGACGTCTGCTTTCCTCCCAGTCATTTCCGAGATGAAGAAGCCAAAAGATTACCCAAAGGCTGTCTACCTCTCCATGACCATTGTCACCACTTCTTACCTTGCCTTTTCTCTTGTCATGTACCGGTGGTGTGGACAGTGGATTGCCTCCCCATCGCTCGGCAGTGCTGGGCCTGTCATCAAGAAAGTGACTTACGGCGTGGGGATCATTGGGCTCTGTGTCAGCGCCTGCCTATATGTTCATATTGGTTCCAAATATCTCTTTGTCCGCGTGCTGAGAAATTCTCCCCATTTGCAGCTCAACAGCGTTATCCACTGGGCTACCTGGTTTTCGATTACTGCTGGTGTGTCAGCCGTCAGCTTTGTTGTCGCATCAGGAATCCCCATATTCAATTACATACTCGCCCTTGCAGGGAGTTTATGTTTTGCGCCTTTGGCAATATCTTTACCAGCCTACCTCTGGTTACATGACCATCGCGATTGGAGAGTAGGAGGATATTTGAAGACAGCTGCTTGGACATGGAATGCTTTTCTCATCCTCGTCGGTGCTTTCATGACAGTGGGAGCTACCTACGGTGTGATTCAAGAGATAATCAATGCGTATGCCGATGGAACAATTGGCTCTGCTTTTTCCTGTGCTGATAATAGTAATTCTTCCTAAAGGAAGATATTTATTATTCACATAGTTGCTCTAAGCAATTAAATAGCCCTATTTGGTCATTTGTTCTTGTTGACTAAGATCTCAATAAGTGACGACCGAATTTAAGATATGTTTCTATCTCTGTTCTTGTGTACCATTCTCAGAAAGCCTGCCTAATTTTGTAAACTGTTTCTTCCGCGAAGTATACATGACTTTTCAATACTACCTGATATCCAAAAGAAATTGCCGTATAGTCCGGTTCAAATCTCTATTGTGCCAAGGCCAGAGAAGTGCCCCTAGCACTGAGAGCCCTGCCAGGAACGAAGCCTGGGCTGGATGGATAATCAATGTAGCCTTCTGGAAGAAGCGGAGTGTAGAAACTCGCGCGATCGTACTTGTTCAACGGCTGGCCTTCTTTTATTCTATAGGGGAGATCTGGGTTGGCGAGGAAATGCCGACCAAAAACAACGGCAACGTCGTAATCCCTGTACTCTCCGTCAACGGCCTGACGCGCATTCTTTGGAGTATAGCCGCCGGCCACAAATATCGGCGATGTATTGCCCCAAATATCCAATAAGAATTTGATGCTATCCGTACATTCAATATCCACGTTATTATTAACGCGCGACTCGATAATGTGCAGATATGCCAATCGATATCGCTTCAAATTCTCGGCAAGAAAGAAAATTGCGGAATTGGGTCGGCCATTCTCATTCCTTGGAACTGACTGAACGGACTAATTCGAAATCCAACTCTTTCTGCGCCAATTGCTTCCACAATTGCAGACGTAATTTCGAGTGCGAATCTTGCTCGATTCTCAATGCTGCCGCCCCAACGATCGCTTCTCTTGTTGCAATTGTCTTGAAGGAATTGGTCAATAAGGTATCCGTTTGCACCATGGATCTCAATGCCATCAAATCCAGCTCGGATAGCATTTTTTGCCGCTTGCGCAAAATCAGAAATGCAAGATGCAATCTGCTCGGGGGTCATCTCCTGGGGAACATCGGCGTCTTCTTCCTCTGTCATTGGAGTTGCACTCGAGCTTAAGAGTTGGCGAGCTCCTCCAGCTAAAGGACTCAAAACTGCGGCGCGGCCAGGTGCAATGAGCTGGCAGAAGATAGTGCATCTTCCATCGTGCACAGCATCAGTGATAATCTTCCAACTCTCAATCTGGGCATCCGTCCACAGCCCAGGGGCGTTGGGGAAACCACTGTGAGCTTCGGATATCAGTGTTGCCTCTGTTATAATTAAAGTGCCCGGAACTGAAGCACGCTGTGAATAGTATTCCAGGGCTTGGGGCAATTGGACACGGTTGCCGTCCGCACGAAACCGAGTAAGAGGCGCCATTACGATCCGATGATCAAGAATAGAATTGCCAACCTTCAGAGGCTCGAAAAGCTTTGACTCAGCCATGACAGTAAACACAATTGAGAAAATTAGAAAGCAAAAGATTTTCTTTTATTTTGAATTGAATCCAGATGGAACGTGGATGAAAAGGTGACCGCATTGGTGCTTTATATCTCCATCTTTACAATACGATACGCTTCAGGAGTCACAAAAACTATTCATCATCTCATTAGAGTATTAAAATTTGTTCATTAATAATACTCGTTGATTTTAAATCATAATGTGTTTGTACAAGATTCTCTTATTTCGACTGATATCTTATAGTTTACTAAGCTGAAGCCATCGTCCTTGGAGTTTATTTGGAGTCACGCCTCCAACTGTTGGAGACGAGTATGATTGGTTGTGTTTGGTCCAAAGGTCCCCGGCCGTTGAGAGGGCAAATGAACGCGACATCGGCGTGACAAAGAAAGAGAGGTAGATGTAAGTAATAAAGTTGTGCTATTTAATTCTGCCTTGCAGGGTTCCCCTCCAACTTTGCGTCGTTCATGGTTACAGGATAGCTGTATACGGCGGTCTTACGCACGTAATTGTGATCTTGCTTATAGCTTCGTTATCTCCGCGGGTACCTGTATCAGTTTGCCCAAACGCAGAGCCAGTATGTCAGTCCTTTTCACAGCTATCTCTCAGTAAGTAGAACATGTCTTACAAAACTCCGACCATCCCTGATCTAACTAGCACAAGGGACAACCCAGTGCAGAAACAAGATGTCCAGAAAGTCTTGGATCAAATAGGTGTCTCTCTTGACCCGGAAGAAGAGAATGATTTCCACGCGCTGCTTGCAGCTGTTCATGAATGTGCAGAGGAGATCCAACAACTACCAGACTACCAACCTGTTCCAGACAGAGCCCTTTATCCAAGGGAAGATATACATCGCCCATCTAAAGAGGAGCAAGTTTTCGGACACGCCTGGGCACACAAATTTCTCATACGAGGCACCACTGAAGCTGGCTTTCTAAGCGGCAAGACTGTCTGTCTCAAAGATGTCATTGCAGTCGCTGATGTCCCACAGCTATACGGGACTGATATTTTCCCACCTTGGACGCCCACCACGGACGCAACTGTTGTCACGAGAGTGCTTGATGCTGGCGCAAATGTGGTTGGAACAACTACTTGCGAAAACATGTGTCATTCAACATCTTCATTTACAAGCGCCCAGGGTACAGTTCATAATCCCTTTGCTATTGGATACTCGGCTGGAGGGAGCACGTCTGGAGGCGCTGCAATCGTTGGCGGCGGCCTTGCAGACATTGCGATCGGCACCGATCAAGGTGGTAGCATCCGAATTCCTTCAGCCTTTTGCGGATGTTAGTGCTCAAACACCCTCGGATTTTGCTGATTTGGTTGTCTAATATGGAGTCGCAGGTGTTGGGTTCAAGCCGACGCATGGATTTGTACCGTACACGGGCATTAGCAGTGGCGATGCAATTGATGATCACGCTGGTCCCATTGCTAAGAGCGTGCTGGATGTAGCACTTTGCCTTGACTCAATAAGCGGATATGACGGAATTGATGATCGATCTTTGGGTGCGCCGACATACGGCCTAACGACCTATGCTGCGTCCATGCAAGCACAGCATGGCTCATTGGACGGCTTCAAAATCGGCATCCTTACGGAAGGTTTCAACCACCCTATTGTAGACCAAAGAGTTAGGCAAGTAGTCTTTGAGGCGGCCTACAAATTTAAGAGTCTTGGTGCGACAGTTGATGAGGTGTCGATACCTGATCACCTACGCGGCCCAGGACTTTGGACGATTCAGCAGCGCATTGCGGGATCGCAAAATCTTCTTGGACATCAACACGGGAGGAGAGGCTTGTATCTTACTGAGTTGGAGCAATGTAGGCTCCCCTGGACTACTGAGAGCTTCAGAAGGGGATTTGCAGCCACGAAGAATGTTATTATTAACGGGCTATATCTTGCAGACCGTTTTCCGGGTCTTTATGGTAAAGCGACCAACCAGGGACGACAGCTTCGAGATGCATACCAGAAATTATTTGAGCAATATGATGTGCTTCTCATGCCCACGGCGCCGATTGTGGCACCCAGACATGGCGAGAAGGGATCACCGATGGAAGCTCTCAAACCTAGCATGGGTATCACCATAAATACTGCGGTGTTCAACGTCACTGGTCACCCAGCTATGACTATTCCTGTTGGTTTCGCGCCATCGAATGATGAGCATCATCTGAAGCTGCCAGTTGGCATGCAGATTGTTGGTGGACTTTGGAAGGAAGACAAAGTCCTTCGTGCTGGATATGCATGGGAGAGAGCATTCGATTGGAAGAAAGAGGTTTTGAACTAGAGTAGATGATTCTGTATATTAGTATAACATCTTGCCAATATTGCTACTAAGACTATGAAAATATATACGGTCACTATTGCAAGCCAGTGTACCATTGACATCTCCACACTCCCCGGTAAGCCTCCATTGAGGATACTCAGATAATAACATACCCACCGTCAACGACCAACGCATGACCTTGAATAAAAGATGCTTGACTTGAGCAAAGGAATAAGATTGCATCTGCCACTTCTTCTGGCTGTCCCATCCGCTTCATAGGTGCCATCTCAATGGCTGGCTGAAGGCGTTGCTTAACCTCTTCGCTATGAGTCGTCATTGGGGTTTGTATCACTCCGGGGCATATGCAGTTAACTCGGATTCCATCTGCTGAATAGTCGATGGCGTCACAACGAGTCATGCCAATCACAGCTGATTTAGAAGCGCAATATGCCGCTAGAAATGGTCAACCAATTCGTCAGTTCTGGACAATGCAGAGAGTGATGAAGAGAAGAGAACAAGACAAGATCGAGGATAAATAAGGACGGGAAAACTCACGCGCAGCGTGGCGCCCCACGATACCAAGCTGACTTGCAACATTGACAATCGCTCCTCTTTCAGATGGCCGGTTTGAAATGGAGGCCGGTTTATACGGATTCTGCTCCACTATATGTATCGGCTCTTGCTTGATCATGCGCTTCAGCTGTGCCCTCGAGCTTAGCCAGCAGCCTCTATAATTGACCTGATTAATCCGGTCAAACTCTTCAAGGGAAAGTTCGGTAGAACGAAGAGGGGAGCTAAGTATTCCGGCGCAGTTAACAGCATAGTCGATGCGGCCAAACTCCTGTAAGACATTGTCCATGAATGATTCAACAAAGGATTCATCCGCAATATCACCGGCCCTGGCGAAAAGCCTGACGCCGGGATGCACACGATTAATGCTCTCCTGTGTTTCTAGAAGCCCCGCCTCGTTAATATCGGTAATAGCTATCTTCGTACAGCCTGATATCGCGAAAGCCTGAGCCGTTGCGGCCCCGATTCCTGGGACGAGGACCGTCTTGTCAATTGCTAGGATCCATTGCTTCATCATCAAAGGTGGGAGGGGCTTACCATGGCCACCAGCGCCTGTAATTACCGCCACCCCTGGAAATCGCCCAAGATCCATGGTCACTGAGAACAGGGCTGCAAAACTTTATCTTAGGCAATAGAGTACTTCTACTGAGAAGAAGATGAGATGAGCTGCGCAAAACGGGCTTTCATTCTATCTGTAACCATTCCATTCATTTAGCATACAGGAGATAGGCAAGCCATACTTCTTATTTGCAGACGACAGTAATCTGCAAGTGCCGCACTGTGCATGTGTCGACCGTCTCCAACTCTAGTTGCAGATTATCTCAAGTAGCCGCCTGAGGCTAGTAGAGTATGAGCCTAAGGCTCATTTGCCTCCACCGCGGATCGGGTAGCTCCAAAGCGCAAGCCAGAGGACGAAGTTCGTTCTCAGGTTTCACATTCCTACAGTTGGAGAGTCACTAAACCCCTCTCCATGCTTCTCCATGATTCTCCACAAAGCATCCCATAATGCCATCTCCAGACTCCAGTCACAACTCCAACGAGGGTCGCCGAGTCCATGGCCACCGCCCACCAACAGCAAAGAGAAACCTCTGTGTATATTGCACACGGAGCTTCAAACGCGCCGAACACCTTCAGCGCCATATTCGCACTCGTAAGGAATTTTACTCCCTGTTACAATATCGACTTCACTGCCCTGTATACCATCACAGCTAACTTCCTCTTTCAGACACCAAGGATAAGCCATACGTCTGTCAGTGTGGTACCGCTTTCGCACGCCGTGACCTGCTCACTCGACATGAGCGGCTTTCTCATGGACACAACAGCTCTCACCAAGGGGTACAAAAATCTGTCGATTACGAAGACTCGACGGGTGATGCTGTTGCGCAATCATTTACAGAGACACGAAGTGTAGCAGGCGTTTCAGTATCGCGTTGGACTGCACCTAACTCTAATGAGGGTATTGGGTCCCAATGGCCCCAGAGGGAGCAGAGTGAGACAATTTACCAGAACCTTTCCGATGGGGATTTGAGCACATTATCACGAATCACGAGGCCGGTTCCTTCTGTGTCCGATGGGACAGGGGCTGATCAACAATATGGGCAGTCTATGCCTCGACATAGTGGGGATACGCCTTTGAGTCCAGGTAAGAGCTCCTTTTTAGTCAAGCGACATTGATACTAATTATCTTATAGAGGCAACCTTCAATTTCTTCAATGATGATGGTCATCACTTTCAGGAATTTGCTAGCTTCCTTGACAGCATAGGACTTCCGGCAGAGTGGACACCACCCGACTTCACGCATGAAGTCAATACCAATGGGGTTGACGCTGAGAGTCATGACAAGAGGGAATCAAATAACTTGCGCTCGACGAACGATGAATCCTGCCCTGGTTCTCCTTTTGGCTCATGGCCTCCTTCAGTACCACAAGGCGACCATCCTCTGACCTCTATATCAGATACAGGTTAAACTCCCAGCAGCCTAATCGCTACATTAACGACCACCTCCACTCTTCCCTCTTCGATTTAGTCTCATTCTGTTACATGATCAGTTTTCCAGAGGCGAGACTGACATTTGTTGCTTTGCAGATCCTCATGATTCCAACTTCAAGACATATTCCATGAGAGTGGACTCCGATATTCGAGCACGTTTCAATGCCTGTCTAGAAAAGTATCATGACATTATCCCAGATTTTGTCTTGCCCTCTAGACATACTCTCACTAGATACATCAAATCTTTCTTTGGAGGATTCCATTCTCATCTTCAGTTCCTTCATGCTCCAACTTTCCGACCGGGCAATTGCCCCATTGAACTCATCTTAGCCATATGCGCTACAGGTGCTCAGTATTGTTTTGAGCATCGAAACTCAAGGACTCTCTTCCGCACTTCGAAAGCAATTATTTTAGCAAATCTGTCCCAAAGGGAAATCGCGGTCAGCCAAAGGGCAGAATTAATGTTATCACCTCTGAATTTGGGCAGTCGACTCATTCAGCAGCCTTCTGGCTCTCATTTCTCCACTGTGGTGTCTTCAAATTCGGAGCATGCGAATTCTACACCTTACAAAGAAATGGATACAATCCGCTGTTTATTGATCCTGATGGGCTATGCTACTTGGGAAGATTCAGAGCTGCTTCATGAAGCACTTAGCCTCCAAAGTTTACTTGTTCACTGCCTTAGAGAGGCGGGGCTACGAGAAACCGTTGAAAATAATCCAAGCTCAGCAGATTTATCGTGGGCTGAATGGTCAGAGCAAGAGTCTGTTCGAAGAACAAAGCTTGTCTCATTCACATTCATCCATGTTCACAGCATCGCATATAACGTTTACCCGGCACTACGGAGTAATGAGATTTACCTTCGCTTGCCCTGCTCGACAAGAGAATGGAATGCTCAAACTGCTGTTCAGTGGCAAGCCGCACGGCGCGATGTAAAGGCAGAGCAGCTTCATTACCAAGATGCCTTGTCCCGCCTTCTTACAAATTCAGGGAGCAACGCCCACATTGACCCCACGCCTGCACCGCTTGGAAATTACATACTTCTCCATGGGCTCCTTCAAAGAATACATCTGATACGGGAGCTATCTCTCTCCGCACTGGATTACTCGACGGCTTTGCCAGATGAAGAATTGAACAAGATTGAGTAAGTATAAAGAGAAGAATCTTCCAAGATCACGCGTGTAATAGAGTGCTTATGCCATGCACAGACGGGCACTTCGATCATGGACTCTGGTCTGGAAACAAGCGCCGGAATCAAGCCTCGATCCATCAAACGAGAATGGGCCAATTCCGTTTACATCCAGTGCCCTCCTTGGCCTTGCCTATATTCGTGCATGCATGAATTTAGGCCCTCACCGAGCACTCGAGACCCGAAATCCATTGCTAATCGCCGCTGGTATCTGGAAAGCACCATCCCCATCGCGGGGTCGTTTCTTGATCCCCGCCCTAATATACTCTACACATGCGCTGAGCATCCCCGTTCGGCTTGGAATTGACAGTGTTGCGCGTAGTCAAGCATTTTTCTGGAGTGTCCGCCATTGCCTATCCAGTCTCGAATGCGCGGTCTTTTTAAGTAAATGGTTATGTTCATTATCCGAACTTCATGATACTCAATCATTGTCGGGTAAGCTACCCTTTCCTCACATTGAAGTAGCATCTTGGCTGAGATCGATGTGGGAAAGAAAATGAGAACCGTATCCTCCGCTGGGTCAACGCCATTGTACAAGAAGCAATATCTTACTTGGACATTGACAAGGCGGATATTGGCACAGACGTCGACATCTCGCGGCCACGTACACTTGGCCTGGCAGTCTCAAGGCTTTGGGCACGTCTCTTTATGCATAATGTGCAATGGCCATTCATCAATATTATTGGCCAGGGTTTGCAGAAATACTCAGAGACGTTACAGGCCGGGTAACTGGGTTCAGGCTTTTCCGTGTCAACCGCGGGACTGCCCTGAGCAGCATGAGTACACCAGCGACCATAATTGTCATAATTCGTCATATTACAAGCCATTTGCTACGTATCTACAGCGCAGATGGCATCGAGTTCTGCCGCAATCTCGGCAGCTGTCTCATTAGCTAACATCCGGATGTGCCGACATCAGGGCGTAGTTGGAAAAAAAGGTACACGAGAAGATGCAAGGAACTGCTGGCGGCGACGCAAAGTGCGGATCGTATGTCCGTTATAGGCAAAGTAGAACGAATGGCATCTCGACAGAAAATCTCACTAACCTGAAACCGAATATGCTGAATAAGGGAAGATCTAGATTGGAACTATCAAATTCGGGCATAGCTTCCGCATCACCACATCTTCCGTGCCTGGCAGCGCAATCGAATTTCTCAGCTCAAAAGTCACAAATCTGGGCTGATATCATAATACGTGGCCGGGCGAATAGCGTAGTGGCCTCTGGATTAAAGTTTCTGGGAGCGTTTGCCCTTGGCCCATGAGCTGAGATCTGCTGGAACCAGGAAATCAAAACATCAGCAAATTACTTTTCTAGGTTAGCATGCTGCTTTGTAATTAGTGAAGACAGAATGAAGAAGGCCAAGGGGCTTGGGCTTGATAATAATTGCACAGTAATCTTCCTTTGTAAGACACATGGCAGTTTTCATTTTCTATATACCAAAATCATTCTGTTACAGGCTACCATGACAAGCGTTAAAGTATTTAGTATCGAGACTCTCCAGTCCATTTTGTTTGATGTCAGACAAAAACTCAATTCACCCCGTACTTCATAAAAATCACAACAAACAAAGAGAACTCCTGATATAAACACCATCCCACAATTATACATACCTACGGAATCCTTTCAACTCTTATTGGTTCTCTCGCCTGGCTCGCCAGCAGCTGCAGGCCTTTTCGTTATTGACTCAATCACTTTTGCCGCGTTTCATTCCCGATTTGGTAACTAAGATGCGAGATCTCATTAGAGAAGCGCCCATAGGCCAGCTACTTCGCCTGATTACGCGAAACAGAATTCTCAAATACCCAGAAGAGGAAGAGAGCTTTAAATTACCCAATGAATATATCGCCCAGCTGAATCCAAGCGAGAAACATGATGAGCATCGAAATTTGGACGCAGTACTGTCTGAATCTGGCGAAGGGGCAAATTCCGAAAGCTCTGAATCAATTGGTCATGAGGGTGATGATGTAGAGCATCTCGGACGAGCAAGGACGACTACTAGCGTCCATACCGCCCCATACAGCAACAAGCGACTAGAAGCCGAAAGAGAACTCGCATTGCAACGTACCAAATCTATTGTGATCAGTCCTCAGAAGACTGCTGATGGCGTTGTTCTTGTCGATTGGTATACAACAGATGACCCAGCCAATCCTCAGAATTGGTCTCTACTCAAACGCTACTTCGTCCTGTTTGTTCTCTGCTTTTACACATGGACAGTGTACTGCGCTGGGCCCATCTACGCCACCGCTGAGGAGGGAATCCAGCGTGCGTTTCATGTCAGTCCTGTCGCTTCTACCCTTGGTCTTGGGCTCTATGTCCTCGCATATGGCATAGGCGATCTCCTTTTCTCGCCTTTATCTGAGATCCCGAGCATCGGGCGGAATCATATTTACTACTTGACGTATATTGTTTACTGGGTTTTGTCATTCCCAGAAGCCGTCGTCGATAGCTTTGGTGGACTTTTGGCCCTGCGATTTTGGCTTGGCTTTTTCGGCAGCCCAGCCTTGGCTAATGGCGGTGCCACAGTCGGCGACATGTTCTCTCTCATGTACATCCCCTTTGGCCTTTCTTGGTGGGTGTTCTCTGCGTGGGCTGGCCCTGCCATCGGACCAGTGATTGGAGGCTTCGCAGCGCAAGCCAAAGGTTGGAGATGGCCCATGTGGGAAATTGTGTGGATGTCTTCTCTTGCGCTTGTCTTCCTATTGCTTTTCATGCCCGAGACTTCGGCGCCTACCATCCTGTTGAGACGTGCACGCCGTCTTCGCAAGCTGACCGGCGACTCGAGACTTCAGTCGCAGAGCGAGATTGATCAGCGCCATATGAGCACATCTGCAGTCCTCTTTGATGCCTTGGTCAAGCCTATGGAGATTATGCTGAAGGATCCATCCATTTTCTTCGTCAATGTTTACACGGGTTACTTCTACGGCGTCTTCTATACATTTTTCGAGGTCTTTCCTCTCGTCTTTCCAGTAATGTATGGATTCAATCTTGGACAGACTGGTCTTACCTTCTTGTCATGTCTTGTCGGCGTCATTATCGGTCTTGCCGCCTATTTCGCGTATCTGCAGTTCTATATGGTTCCCGATAATATTAAGCGTGGCTTCCGAGAACAAGAACACCGACTTGTTCCGGCCATTATTGGATCCTTTTTGTTGCCAATCGGCCTATTTATCTTTGCATGGACAGCCAATCCTAGCATTCATTGGGTGGTGCCTCTCATTGGAGTGGGTATTTTCTGTTTTGGACACTTCTGGACGATGCAATCTCTATTCATCTATATCCCGCTGTCTTATCCTAAGTACGCCGCTTCTCTATTCGCTAGCAACAGTATTTGGAGATCTGGTATCGCTGGCGGTGCTGTTGTCTTTGCAAGGCCTCTCTTCATCAACCTGGGTGTTGATAAGGGCGTGACGGTTCTCGCCGGACTCAGTGTGATGGGCATTTTCGGTACAACGGCCATTTATATCTTTGGCAAGAGGCTCCGTGCCAGATCAAAGTTTGCTCAGAGCTAGAACGAATGGGTTCAAGTCAGTTCTCGGCTGCCTTATACCCCCCCAAAAAACTTCTTCAAAAGACAGGGTGGTCTACTTAATAAACAGAATATTACAAAGCAAAAGGAGACTTGTGAGGTATTCTTCGGACTGGGCTTTAATAGAATTTTTTGGATGATGGATGAAACTATTTATTTAGACTAAAAATAGAATGCTTAATGCTGTATTGCATATTTATGCTCAATGTCGGCCACTGCGTTGTGCTATACTGTGTACGCTTGTGCCCAAGTTCTTATTCCAAGCTGTCGAATACTGAGTGTCGGAACATGTTCCGATCTACAGCTGATAAAGGTGGACTGTCGGAACGACATGTAATTGGTTGTCGCCTTCTACCAGGTAATGTTGCCACTTGGGCATTTCCTGCGCACTCCAACTTGCCGATATCATCCTTCCATTTCGATATACACCCATTTCTTCCTGTCTTCTTCGTGTAATCGGATTTAATGACCAAAGACCTCATTCATTCGCACCGGTCATAGCATTGACCTTGTATTCGATTATCTCCTATTGGCCTCGGCGTAGGAACGCATCCGAAACCCATGGACACATATTCGGAATCTCCGGGGCCAGACGTGCCATCCAAGAAAAAGCTCAAAATCGGGAATGGCAATGCATGTGAATTGTGTCGCTCTAGAAAAGTGAAATGCGACGGAATGCGCCCAGGTATGTCTTGTCTTCCTGATGTCTACCTAGCCCGACGCGTGTGCAGATGCCGACCTCGGCTTAGCCTGTAGCAATTGCAAGAAAAAGAGAAATGAGTGCATTTATAAGGCTGTCTCTAGTGTCTTACACCAAGAGCCTGTGCAGTCAATTCCCGGAATTGGATACAGCGGTAGTCCTGGAACATTCGCTGGAGAGGTAAAAGCTGCTATTGATGCCAAGTATGGGGGGGTTTCTAGTGGATCATCCATTGCGATGCCAATGTCAGATGCTCCTTTATTCGAATTGCGCTTACCTGGTCGACGGCCGGGTGACGGGCAGGCGGATAAAGTCCTACCACCACGTCGACAGGCAGATCATTTACTGAGTATATTCTGGCGGTGCATACAACCCGTTGACTACATGGTCGATGAGAAACGCTTGTGTCGGTCATATGAAATGCTATTTGAGGGAAGAGATCTAGAGATAGATGAGCGAGTCTTCATTTCCACATTGAATATCGTCTTCGCTTTTGCCATTCAGGTTCAGGAATCTATCGCAGCTGCGGAGAGGAATGAGGTGGCGGGCACCTATTTTGAGAGAGCTTGGAACTTACTCCGCCCTGAATCCGTTTTATGGGAGCCACCGTCGTTAGAGGTTGTGGAATGCCTCTTACTAATGAGCCGATATCTTCAGTGCACGAACAATTCACATCAAGCATGGATGGCAGTTGGATCGGCAATACGAATTGCCCAGAGCCTTGGTATTCATCTCCCGAAAGCTTCGGAGGCTGGCATATCGAGTGATCTGGCTCATTGGCGGCAGCATCTATGGAACTGCTGTGTATTTGCCGACATGTAGGTAAAACTCATTTTTCTATCCTATTTGGCGTGTTTCTAATATGGGCGTTCAAGGTCAGTTTCGTGGGTGCAGGGTCGCACGGCGATGATGTCCTTAGTTAGTCAACATACCGCTCGCAGGAGTCCCCCCTTTCGTGATGATTTGATCCACACACTGGAACTGCATGAAATTGTTCATCATAGTATTATAGCACAAACTCCTGTTGGTGGTGGCCTGGCTGAAAGGTTCGGCCCACACGGGTCTTGTCAAAAGAAGGAATCCTACTGTAACTCAGTCCTGCAACATGAGGCTTGCTTGAACCAATGGGAGAAGGTCAGGCTGAAAGGGATTCCATCCGAAGAAGGCGATGATAATGAAACGAAAATGAAGAGGCTTAGCCTCCAACTTCGGTAAGCTTTACATGAACACTTTTCGTCTGTCATGTTCTCTTCACATAGCTCATGCTTTTTGACACCTCTAGGCTATTGCATGCTCGAATCTTGTTGTTCAGACCAATGGTTGCTCGGTGCTGCTTCATGCAGAATAACGCGCCCGTCGCTGCTGATGCTCAATTTGAGTCATCTTACATGGGCCATATGATACAATACGGCGCCTTTCAATGTATTTTGAACGCCCAAAGGATGGTAGCATTACTTGACAAAAATTGCAGCGTCAATGAATCTGCTTACAGTATACCTTGGTGGTCTCGGATTTTCTACCTCCATATGGCGGGAACTATTCTACTCGCAGCGATGCAATCCACGAGTCTTTTCACAGAGGCAGTATCGGACAGCTGGCAACAAACTCTCTCAGTTTTCAAGAAGCATGAGCATCTCAGCCTCTATATACCACAGTATACAGCACTGTTCCAATCTTTGGCGAGAAAAGCCTCGCATATGCGCCATCCTCCAGAGCACAGTGGTTTTATGGAAGAGCTATCGGATACCCAATTCCATGACACATTTCTGGAATTTGGCTTTCACAACGATAGCTTTCTCTTTGATGAGCCCGATGAAACTTGGTTTAATTCATTTCCAGCCAGTTGAAATTTTTTTAAACTTGATAGATTTGCTGTAGAACTTCTATCTAAGCTTCTTAAGTCTTTCTGCAATGATTGCAGGGTAATGCTTAGGGTTTCGAAGGGAGTGGAACGATTTGGAATCCAGCAAGGCGACAGCTACGTCGCAACTGATGAAGGTTAGAGGGCCGCATATGTGGGATTAGATTTTTCTAGAACCTACAATCAATAGTAGATGGACAAGCGAGTCTTTGGCACATGCTTATCTGTCATCGGCGAACGGACTTATGCTTGCGCCTAATGAGTTATCATGATGTGGGCCGGAATCATGATAGCATTGCGTGGTACGGAGTAGATGCGTGAAAAAAGTCTCCGCTATGACCAAGCAGACTACAAAACAGTGATTCTTCTTCGAAAGCGGGAAGCATGTACGAGCCCGAATTCCCTGCTGTTCCTACGTAAACAGGGAGATGCTGATGAGGGTGTAGAGAGAATGGCCAATCAAAAGAGCTTCCGGTAATCCACAAGTAATACTCGGAACGCTCCCGAGCTCAAAGAGGAGTATTGAATCAAGACACTGAAACCTAGGACTATGGGGGGAACCGCCTTACAGGATTTCTTATATATATCCTGCATCCATTTTCATGCATGCAGCTGCTTCCATGTGCATATGCAGCCATTATCATTTGCATGAAGCCATTGTCATGTGCGTGATTCTCCTCTCAGAATCTTGTTGCAACCCTCGAAATAATAGGCCCGGCCAAAGTAACCATGACAATGCTAGGCTTTGAACAACCAAGCAAAGAAAATCCTACAACAGCAACTATCTACGATGGAACGGGCACATCTTCTGATCCGTTTATTGTTGAGTTCCGCAATGGAGACCCGGGAAACCCCATGAACTTCTCATCCACCAAGAAATGGGTCATCATATTCATTGTGACCGCCTCAGTATTTGCGATTACGCTCACGTCCTCCGCCTACTCTGGCTCGGCAAACGAAATCGTTAAGCAATTTCATTGCAGCTCAGAGCTTTTTGCTCTGGGGATATCTCTATATGTACTCGGGTTTGCTATCGGGCCAGCCTTGTGGGCACCCCTTTCGGAGCTGTACGGAAGGAGAATTCTCTTCATCACTACGCATACCTGCGTGGTAGCTTTTGTGGCTGCTACAGCTGGGGCAAGGTCCATGACCCAGCTCTTAGTCTTCAGGTTTCTTACTGGGATGATTGGCGCATCGCCATTGACAAACTCAGGCGGAGTCATTGCTGATATGTTCCCGGCGGCACAACGGGGGCTGGCGATGATCTTTTTCTGCGCAGCGCCATTCATGGGGCCTGTTTTAGGACCTATCATAGGCGGCTTTATTTCCATGAACGTCGGTTGGAGATGGGTGCAAGGCGTGTGCAGCATCTTCATTGGCATCGTCTGGATTGCCGGTTCGATTCTTGTCCCGGAGACATATGGACCAGTGATTTTACGTGAAAGAGCAGAACGTCTTGCTAAAGAAACGGGGAAGTCATATAAAAGCGTCATGCAGCAGCAGCATGGCACAGTTGCATCGTCTGAACTCTTTCGCAAAGCTCTGTTGCGACCCTGGACTCTTCTTTTTCGCGAGCCAATCGTGTTAATTGCCGCCACTTATCTGGCGATAATATACGGGACAATATACATGTTTATGCCTGCATTACCAATTGTCTACCAACGCGGCCGGGGGTGGAGTGAAGGCCTAGGAGGTTTGGCATTTTTAGGCCTTATCTGTGGCATGATAATTGGACTTATATATGCCATCATCGACGACAACCGATATAAGAGACTCGGCCAGTCGGCGACGCCCGAGTCCAGGTTACCCCAAGGAGCTGTTGGTGCCGTTGCTTTACCCGTCGGCCTCTTCGCTTTTGCGTGGACTAATTCGCCAAGTATACACTGGGCCGTTAGCATTACTCTTTCTGCTCCGTTTGGCTTCGGTTGCGTTCTGGTCTTTCTATCATGCCTCAACTACTTGATTGACTCGTACACCATATATGCCGCATCGGTACTTGGGGCTTCGGCAATGCTTAGGGCATTTTTTGGCGTGGCATTCCCGCTGTTCACAGACCAGATGTATGATAATCTAGGCATACACTGGGCAAGCACAATACCTGCTTTCCTGACGCTTGCATGCTTGCCGTTCCCATTTGTTATGCTCAAGTTTGGCCAGACATTGAGACTGAAATGCAAGTACGCGCAAGAAGCAGCAAGTTTAGGAGCACGGATGCAAGCCAAATCTGATCCTGAGACGAGTGGCAGTGAATGAAGAACCAGTACTCTTATTGCACACGCTGTTGCAGGATTGGGGATTTAATGGACGATTTCAAAAAGCTTGCGGATATTACTACAGGGATTTACATTCATCTACAAACGTCACCGTGGCTGTAACAATTAGAATATTATACTCCGGAGTTCCAGAAAACATCTTGTATCACTATATATCCCATATTGTTTCAATATATTATTAGTGAAGTCTTTTTGTACTTGGTGAGCCTGCGACCTTGGTTTTAAGGCTTATACGCTATAGTATATATATTTTAGTAAGTCCGTGAGGCTTTCCTTATAATTGGCTGTCTTTCTTATAGTTTACCTAAGAGGTACGTACTTCGGGTCAGGTCGTAACAGAGGGTTACTAATATATAGTGGATTATTATAAAGAATCCTTGTTTAAATGATTCCAAATGCTACTGAAATAGTGGATTATTATATAAATGATTCCAAATAACATATTGAATTATTATTGAAACCTCATAGTATTATAACTTTATAATAGTATTTAGAGTATAGTTATTGTGGTGAACCGGGTCCTATAGATTAGTATAGGTTAGCTGTTTCCAAGGGATAAACCTTAGAGTGGTTCTATGGTTTTATTATAACCTGATCTAGCGAAGGTACGTACCCCGGGTAAAGTATAGACCAGAAGGCTAATTAGGAGAGGATTACTTATATAGTATACCTTTAACGGATTATAACCGTAAGCTATTGTAATTTAAAGAAACTGTAATTTAATAATAATCTAAGGAAATAATTAAATATATAGGATTTAATTTTTTATACTTTTTAAATAACTTAAATAAATAGTTATTAATAAAGTATTAAAATTAAATATAAATTAAATCTTTATTATATTTTACTTACTTTATAATTATATTTACTTAAAACTATTTTTTATTTTTTTTACTAATATAAACTAATTAACTTTAGTTTATTACTTTAAGAATTTACTTTATATTATTTAAGTATTAAATTAAAATATTATATATTAATAACTTTTATTTAAAAGGATATTAAGTATTTTTAAGTAATATAAATTACTATACCTAAAGCTAAAGTAGCCCCTAAAACTTTAATTACTAACCTTAGTATATTTATAATTAAAAGTAATAGTAATATTATTATAATAAATTTATTTAATATTTCCTTATTTAAAAATTTAAAACTTTTTATACTTATTTAAAATATATATTAACTTAATAAAATCTTAGTTAATAAACTTAATAAAAAAAAACTAAA